AATTTCAAAAATTGATGCTACTCCCGCAGCACCAGTTGCTGCTTCAGAGTCGAAGACCTCCACTGTGACACAGGACGTCCCGGAGAAGAGAGAGTCTACCCCGGAGCCTACTACAGATACAGAGAAGGAAGCCGAGGCGTCAGAAGACGAGGAGGATGAAGACAACAAAGCAGCAACCCGTAACCCTCTTCAACGAGGCGACTCGGAGCTTCCGGCAACTCAGCCATCCCAAGAACCCGAATCTGAGTCCGGGTCCGAGCCAGAGGCAGAGCCTGCCGAAGAGGTCGCAGAACAAGCTTCAGGGGGCGAAGAAGAAGCTGCATCAGCGACTCAAACCGAGCCGCAAGGACCGGAAGAGCAAAAGCTCTCGGCCAGAGAGCGGCGCACTCTGCGACAGGGCAAGCCACTTGACCGTGACGAGGAACCAGCTGTGCCACGCATCGCTCCCACCCGGGGCAAGCGGGCGAAGGATAAGCGTGCAGCTGCTAAGTATGCTCACCAAGATGAAGAGGAACGAGAACTAGCTCTTCGCCTCGTGGGTGCCAATAAGGGCAAAGCCGCAAAGGCGGCCAAGGCAGCTGAAGCCAAAGAGCAGCGTGAACGGGACGCCGAGGCGCAAAGGCAACGCCGCCGGGCCCAACACGAGCGCGCCGCCGAAGCCGAGCGCAAACGCCAGGCTATCTTTACGGAAACTGGGACGGACGATTACAATGAAGAGACTGCAGCAGCAGAGGCAGCAGATCTCGCTTGGATTCCGGCTTTGATTGGCACACCGACTACCGATGACGAGATCCTTGCTGCTATTCCAGTCTGTGCTCCTTGGGGTGCCCTTGGGCGCTACAAGTACAAGGTTAAGCTGCAGCCGGGTGCAGTGAAGAAGGGTAAGGCTGTCAAGGAGATTGTCGGTCGGTGGGTACACGAGACCACAACCGGCAAGGTCAAGAAGGAACATGCCGAGGATGCTGGGATCCCCCGAGTCGATGCAGAGCGCCTTCGCGCACAGGAAGGTGATCTAATCAAGGCCTGGAAAGAGTCTGAGATCATCAACACCATGCCTGTTAGTAAGGTGCGTATCATGACTCCGGGTGGAGCTGGAGGAGGAGGAGGTGGTGGTGGTGGTGATAAGGGCAAAGGTGGAAAGGGTGGAGGAGGACCCAAAGGAGGCAAGGGAAAGAAGAAATGAGTGAGCAAAAGTGTTGAATGTATAGACAGTACATAGATGAGAGCCTCAATACACCAACGATGAGGTTAGGGCTATCAATAACTCATAGAGCCGATCTACATGTATATCTACCCTGGTCAAATACCGTGATCAGCCACAACCCCGCCCCAACGATTTTATAGATTCATTTCTTAGCATTTTCAACTCTTATTTATTCATACAAAGGTAGACAATATGCAACTCCTCGTGTTGCGCTCACTGCGCATCGTGCCCAATGTGATGAGTCATCCGACGTCATGGAATCGAATTTCTGCGTTTGGCCTCTTATCGTTGTCTCTGACGGCATCGTGCAGGATGTTAGACCGAATGGTTTAGAGACGATCTCTATCAGAATTCACGCTTAAGGAATCATACCTTGCGATTGGAACTCGGGCCCCTCCTCTTTTGGCCCCTCGGATTGCGTGGAATAGGGCGTCATTGATCAAGACCTCTTCAAATTGCTGTTCACTCGCACTTTCGCCGGCGGTGCTCATCGCAGTTGTGCCAGATACATAACCATGTCTTCCACGCAGACGCGAGTTCTCCCTGTCCAACGGCTGAGCCAAGGGCCCGGCGATTTGTCTCTGGCCGAATGGTGGGAGAAGGAGCGCAGCCAACAAACACCCGAGTCCAAGGCTATCGAAGAAGCTGCTGAACTCCTCCGATCGAGCGATCTCCCCGTCGCCTTTCCAACCGAGACAGTATATGGACTGGGAGCCGATGCTACACGCAGCGCCTCCGTCCAGGGCATCTACCGCGCGAAACAGCGGCCCTCGGACAACCCATTGATCATTCACGTTGACTCACTGGACATGCTCGACCGTCTCCTCAACCCTACCGTCAAATCTAACACGGGATCCAGCCCGCGATCCAGCCCGGGATCCCCTACGACGCCGCGCATCTCCATCCCACCGATCTACAAGCCTCTGATCGACCGATTCTGGCCAGGCGCCCTGACTATCATTTTACCCAACCCATCCGGGTCCGAGTTGGCGCCCGAGGTCACCTCCAAATTGACCACGTTCGGCGTCCGCATGCCCTCCTCTCCCCTCGCGCGGCTCCTCATCCACGCCACAGACCGTCCCCTTGCCGCCCCATCCGCCAACGCTTCCACTAAGCCATCCCCAACAACCGCGCAACATGTATACCACGATTTGCAAGGCCGCATCGAATTAATTCTCGACGGTGGAGCCTCCGGCGTCGGTGTCGAGAGCACCGTGGTCGACGGCTTAACCAACCCACCAGCGATCCTGCGCCCAGGCGGCATCGGCATCGACGAGTTACGGGAATGTGAAGGCTGGGAAAAGGTGGAAGTCGCCTACAGCGACGGAACACTAGAAATGAAGGATATCCCGCGCGCACCGGGCATGAAGTACCGACACTATTCGCCGAAAGCACGAGTCGTCCTCTTCGAGCCTACATCCACCATGAAAGGAGTAGTGAAGCATGTCCAAAAGGACTTGCAAGATACTGCCATCGGTGCACACAACATCGGTATCATTCGCACTCGAAACTGGAAGCTGGGTTTGGATCTTGCTCCCGAGGCCGAAGTCGCTAGTACTGTGAAGGCCGTCTCTGCTCCTATCGAAAACCTCGTCAGCTTCCCAGTGCCAGTGCAGGAGACTGGTAACCCCAGCACCTGCACGAAGATGGCATACGACTACCATCTCGGCTGGGACGCAACTGCTATCGCGCATGGCCTGTTTTCGGCGCTACGCGCGCTCGACGATCTTGATGTTGATGTGATCTACGTGGAGGGTGTTTCAGATGACGAGGGCCACTTGTCTGCGGCTATTATGAACCGGCTCCGCAAGGCTGCTGGTGCCGAACTGCGGGTTTAGGTGATTTACGATTATAGTGTCAAGTGTGGGGTGGATAGATTTTCAAATGTGTTGTCAATATTAGAACTTTTGTGCAAAGTACATGGACGGAGCAATGAAATATCTCTTGGACTTACCATTTTAGTGCTGCAGTGCCTTTATACTCCTTTTTAGGCTTCCGATCACGATCTCGGGGACCTCCGGCCCACGGACGAGGAAGGCTTATCCACCCGCTCTTCACGATAATCGAAAAAGGAGTCATAAATGGTCTCGGAGTCTCGGAGCATGGTATATCTTGAGACACCGGTGAAAAGAACGTTTCCATATATCTTGGCACAGTCCGTACAATCTATAGAAACAGGAAACAACCAATCTCAAAAGCCACCTGCACATAACAAAACCAACCCACCATGTGCCAATCCCCCCTCCACGACTTCATCAAAGGCCTGCCAAAATGCGAGCACCACGTCCACCTGGAGGGATGCCTAACTCCAGAACTAATCTTCGAACTGGCGGCGCGAAACGGCATACCCCTCCCAACAGACCCAGTCTACACCTCAATCTCTACCCTAAGCAAACGCTATGAACACTTTACCTCACTGGACGACTTCCTACACTTCTACTTCGAAGGCATGGCAGTCCTCCGCAACGAACAAGACTTCGCGGATCTAGCCTGGTCCTACTTCCAAAAGGCGCATTCGGATGGCGTCCACCACGCCGAAGTCTTCTTCGACCCCCAAGTCCACGAAGACCGCGGCATCCCCTACGAAACCGTCGTAGGCGGATTCTCCAAGGGCTGCCAGCGCGCCGAGAAAGAACTCGGCCTATCAACTCGCCTGATTCTCTGTTTCGTGCGCCATCTCCCCGTCGATTCGGCCAAGGGCGTTTACGATGAATTGGTCGCTAGTAAGCACTTCGAAGCTGGAGTTGTTCACGGTCTTGGATGGTCTTCTTCGGAGGTTGGGCCTCCGAAGGATATGTTCCGTGATATCTATGCCGATGCGAAGGTAAAGGGTATCCCGCTTACGGCGCATGCCGGTGAAGAGGGTGACCCCACGTATATCAGTACGGCGCTTGAGCTTGGTGCCACGCGGATTGATCATGGGATTCGGCTTGTTGAGGACGAGGAGTTGATGAAGCGAGTTGCGCGCCAGGGCACTTTGCTTACTGTTTGTCCTTTGTCGAATGTGCGGCTGCGGTGTGTGAAGTCTGTTAAGGAGGTTCCTATTCGGAAGTTCTTGGAAGCTGGGGTGAAGTTTTCGATTAATAGTGATGATCCGGCTTACTTTGGGGGGTATATTTTGGATAATTATTGTGCTGTGCAGGAGGCGTTTGGGTTGAATGTTTTGGAGTGGAGGATTATTGCTGAGAATAGTGTTCAGGAGAGCTGGATTCCTGATGAGAGGAAGGCGGTTTTGTTGGAGAGGATTGAGGCGCATGTTAAGGAGTATATGCATACCCTTGCTGCTTAAATTAGAGGTTGGCGTATATAGTTTGTGTATATATGGATTGAATTGGGTGGGCGTGCATCTAATACCCTGTGTTTCAACACCTTTGTATGCCGTTTTCAACCGGAGTATATATCAGGAGCAATTTAAATGAATATATGAAATGGACGTTGATTTAAAGAACTAACGAAGTCCTGACGAAGTACATAACTTAGACATCAGATATATCCCCTGATAAATCAGGCACCAACTCAGATCTACTCCTCACGTGGTGACTGCACTTGCAGTTACCCAGCTCCAGCTCTCCTACGTTGCACACAACCGTGATTGATGCACCAAGTAACAACCAACAGGTGCTGTAGCCTACTAAGGTCTTCCTTCCAGCCTCGGCCACGCCCACAGACACTACGTCAACTCCACTCAGTATCATCCATCGCATCAGCCATCCCACGAACCCCCCAGCGCAGAGCAGTGCAACTCTGCACTTCTACAAGAGACCAAGCTTACAAGAGCATCTCCTTCAACCACGAAATGTCCACCTCCACCCTCCTGGACCGCTACAAACTCGTCTTCTTTGTCCCGCCCTCCGACCTGGAGCCCTGCAAGGATGCCATCTTCGCAACAGGCGGAGGGTCATTTCCCGGAGGGAAATATACCAAATGTTGTTTCCAAACTACTGGCATGGGCCAGTTCCTACCTAATGAAGGTGCAGACCCGGCCATCGGGGCGGTTGGTGTTGTGGAACACTGTGAGGAGGTCAAGGTTGAGATTATGTGTCTGGGTCGGGATGTTATGCTGAAGGCAGTTGATGCTTTAGTTTCGGCTCATCCGTATGAAGAGGTTGCTTATGAGGTTTATCGTATGGAGAATGTGTAGTTGGATGATGAGTCGTACATGGATGTGTTGGGGACGGTGGTGTTAGTGGGACCGCTGGTTGATATCGAGTCCTGTTATTGTTAATTGACGCTGTGCAATTTTAGTGATCATTATCCATATCGTATTCATATCAATTGCAAGAATATTGTCACAGTAGTTGCAGGTGAAGTTGCGATGTTCGATGGAGGATTGTAAAAGCGGGAGTAATCTGTCGACGCTGATTGGTCAGTGTCCGCCCGCAAAACACCTCGTCAACTTGAACCTCATTCTCCTCCAACCTCCAACCTCATCGTCTTCCAATTGACCCTCGCATATCCCCAGCGATGGCCTCCAAACTATTCTCAGTCCCGCGGGTCGGCCGTCAGCTGATTCACCAGCTCCCCAAGCCCCAATACAGAGCCTTCTCCGCCGGCTCGCAACGGTTCAGCGATACACTTTCGGTGGTGCGTATCCGAACCCCTCTCCTGGCTACGCGGCAATTGCGCCTCGGATTGAAGAGAAAAAGTTATATGTACTGACTGTGGCCCTGTCCAATAGCACCGCAACAAGCCTCACAACAACCCGACCATCCCGTTCAAGTTTTCCGACCAGAACCTCCAACTCGCCGATGAGATCCTCAAGCGCTACCCTCCCCAGTACAAGAAGGCCGCCGTCATGCCCCTGCTCGACCTTGGCCAGCGCCAGCACGGTTTCACCAGCATCAGCGTCATGAACGAGGTCGCTCGCATGCTCGAGATGCCCCCAATGCGCGTTTACGAGGTTGCGACCTTCTACACCATGTATAACCGCGAGCCCGTTGGCAAGTACTTCTTGCAGATCTGCACGACGGTAAGCAGCAATGACAACATTGATTCCAGACAATTGCTAATCTCCCCAGACCCCATGCCAGCTTGGTGGCTGTGGTAGCGACTCCATCGTCAAGGCCATCAACGAGCACCTCGGAATCACGCCTGGCCACACCACCGAGGACGGCCTCTTCACATACATTGAGGTCGAGTGCCTCGGCGCCTGCGTCAACGCCCCTATGGTCCAGATCAACGACGACTACTACGAGGACCTGACCCCCGAGTCAATCAAGACCCTCCTGACCGCACTTAAGGACTCCGCCTCCGCCACCGGCACCGGCACCAAGGTCCCCGCCCCGGGCCCGCTGAGCGGGCGCGATACCTGCGAGAACAGCGCCGGCCTGACCAACCTGACCGACGTGCCTGTGTGGAACCCGGAGACGATGATGCGCAAGGACAATGCATTGGACGCGCAGCCCCAGCAATAAGAGAGCTCCAAAAGAGAGAAAAGAATATAAACCCTCTTCACATTGCCGTGGGTCAATTCCAGATGGGAGGATATTATAATGGTTGTGTTTTTTGAATTGGACGAGCAAAAGCCGCGCCTTGTGGGTACCGTGGTCAACCGTGGACAATAGAGGTTCCCGCGCCCCCTGGCGCCCTGAATGATAACCACTCCGAGGCGTCCTTTCTACCTGTTTTTTTGTCTGTCTACCGTGTACAGTACGTTTGTTCCTGGTCTTGGTGTGATCGGAGCCTGAATACAGATCTGGCCCAGTCGCTGTGGGATATCGGCAGGACCAATCGCATTTTCCTTGAACTTGTTCATTTTCATCTTTTCATTATGCTTCGGACTGAGTAGATTCGCAACGTGGGTTCTAGGCTTGAATTATACCTCACGTAGACGTACTCATATTTCAATCTGGCATCACTCCTTGGAAGAAATTTGATGGCCTCTAACCTGTCTACCTACCAGTCTCGACCTGTGTATAATCCGCCAATTACATTCGATGTGCAACTACTATATCCAAGTCACCACTCAAGTCCGCTGTCCATTAAAAAGAGGTCTTTACTAGTGACAACCTAGCTCTTTGTCGTACATGTATCAGCACAAGTCAAAAGGCATCCCGGAATAGTCTGCAGACTTCAACGAAAATGGTGCTCTTAGGGTTAAGCGCATACCAGAAGATCTGAACCTACCTTGGGCCCACGGCATTGGGTTCCTGCTAGCTGGCCGTTGACGTAGCGCTACGTATGGTATTATGGGCTGAAATAATACAACAAAGCCTTTCACATGAAAACTGTATATCCACGAAGAAATGTAACCAAGACGGAAACCTAATGCCACCCAGTTATCGATATCCGAGGCAGCGGTCTCTGCTCTCACAAAACCTTATACGGTCGACTTGCTCGAGAAGAGGTTTCGTATTGGCCTACTTCTATTTCTCAGCTTATTCCTAGGGAATTTTGAACTATAGATAATGCAAAACACCTGATGTGACATAAGACAGTCTATGTTGGATTAGCCACTTGTGCTAGACTTGAATTTTGCTAACAAGCATCAATGAAATCGTGAAGCAAAGCAATCTGCTCCTTTTGTCGTATAGGCGGATACTTTGCATGTTGCTATACATCACTAAGTCATCTATCAAACATACAATTGTCTATAATTCCCTAGCTTGGAGGAACTTGTTAGCTGAGGCTATGTTGTCATCTACTACTAGATATACTACCGCGAAGATATGAACTATTTGTCTCCTCTAGCTACGCTAGAACTATAGGGACTGACATACTCCCTTCGGTTATTGGGGATAGTGCTATAACAGTGCTCTCCTTTTACTTAAGCTTTTTCATGCAAGTAGTTCAACTTGAGCAGTACTGTAACTACTCGGGCCTCTTTGTATCACTTGTCTATTTCTTTGTCCTTACAAGTCAATATAATCTAAGGGCAATTGATTCTCTTTATAGAGTAGTTACCTCCCACTACACTTTCTACTTAGTAAAACCTCTACGCAGGCTTACATAAGAAGTCCAATGGCAAGAAAAAAGATCTGACATTTGCCATAAATGGCGCTCTCTTGTTTATTCGCCGAGCACCCCCTCCAGGCCGGGTGCCACCTGAAGGGAGTGCTCACACAACCTCCCCATTCTCATCTTCCACCCGCTTCCCAGCGCACCGGACGTCGTCCTCCCGGACTGCTTCCTCTGCCACGAGGCAGGCCGCCCCTCTCCTCTCTACCAGCGTCCCATTGCCATGTGAGGCATTGCGCCGGGCGAAGATGTTCACCTCTACCGTCCCCTTCACCAGGAGGTGGTATACCTGTACGGTACGCTTCTGCCCGTACCGCTGGGCCCTTCCGATGGCTTGGGTCATTCCTGCCGCGTATTCGGGCTGTGAAGCCACGAACAGAGGCGACAGGAAGACCACATGGTTTGCGCACTGGAGGTTTCTGGGCGTAAAGTAAGGTCAAAGTTAGATCGATTCTTCAGGTAAGTCAGTGGGATAGGAGATAGGACTAGGACTCACAGGCCAGCCGCCATTGCGCTGCCGAGATTCAGGATCAGGGCCTTTGCCCGCGGAGGTTGTTGCTTCCCCTTTTTCATTTTCGGGCCCTCAATGAACTCCGTGATCACTTTCAGGTTTGTCGATGTGACCATTCGGTGTTCAATATTTGCAGATTTGAGGGCTTCCGAGGCGACAGGCATCAAGTGGCCGATCTGTACGAAGATCAGGACGAGTTCGTCCTGCGGGACGCCACGGACAATATCCACAAGCTTATTGAGCTTGGAACTTTCGCTTGTCCGGTCTTCCTCCTTGACCGATAGCCCGACAATGACCTTGGACACTGCTGTCACTTTTCCGTCGCATTCATGGCAGACGCATTGTTTGTCCTCTTGGGAAGCTAGGGTGCAAGCCTTGCAGAGGACGTGTCCACAGGTTCGGAGAATGCTGACGTCTGCGATGTCATGCTCGTCTTCAGCGCAGCCATTGCAAGCTGGGATGGTGGAGGCGTGGATGGTCAGCAACGCACCGTAGAAGCGAATTTCGCGGTCGACTTCAATCGCCGACTTCAACGAAGTCATGATGTCTGTAGTCAAGGCCTTGGTCATGGCGAGAGATGCTTGCTTGCGAGTCTCATCAGAGGGCTCTGTAGACGTCTTGACCTTATTCCGAGATGGTTCCTGTGATTTACCATCGTCGGTAGCTTCTGCTTCTGCGGGCTTTCCGCTGGTTCCCTTCACAACCGTTGCATTGAGAGCCTTTTCGAATCTCTCATTAACCTTGGTGACAATATTCTGATGTTCCATCAACACAATCCATTCTTGGTATGACTGATGGCAATTGAACAAGAGCTCAATAACTCTGCTGTTTACTACGGGGTGTCCAATTTTTGACTTGGAGATGATTTCCGTCAGTACTTGCCAGTCGAATGGGTTGTCGTCGTCACGATATCCAACAAGGATTGCTTGTCGGCATAGGTTGTCGAGTTTCGTCCAGTGGACCGTAGATTTGGCTTGGTTAGTTGCCAACACCTTGCGACATTTCTCAACGCCCCAGGGAGGCTTGCCAATATGGGTCGTTGTGCAGCTCATGATGAGAGCTTCTGGAAGAGTTTGACTCTTTGCAAGAAGGCTGTTCAGGGGACCGTCGATCCGTTTTCGGTTCTCCTTTACCGCATCATACAGGATATCGTATGCTGCTTTCTCTTCAGGTGATTGACAAACGAGAACAATGTTGGTCTCGAGGGGTATGTGATCAATCTGGGCGATGTTCTGACGTGCGAACCGATGTAGGAATCTTTGAGCATGCTCTTCGCGGTTTCCGTACCATGCGTTACTCCGAGGAGCTTGGTACATCTGGAAAGCCTCGGCAGCAGTCTGATTCTTCCGAATCATTCGCAGTCTCTTGTTCTGAGAGATTCTGTCACTATCACCGTCGTCGTCAATACCAAGGTCAAGACCGAGATAGCGAGCAATACTCTTGATGTCGGCAAATTCGTCCAGAGCGGGTGTTCCTGAGAGAATCCATTTGGAGCGTGCCTGCACTGACAGTAGGGACACCTGTCGTTCCTCCCCAGCATATGTGTACTCGTCGATAATCAAACGATTGAAGTTGAAGGCGTGGATGAATGCAGCTGCAACAGTGCGCCAACCCTGCTCAGCATTTGAAATACCGAACGCTGTTGCATCATCTAGCACCACCTTCAATTTGGCTTTACGTTTGACATCCGACACTTTTGCTGGTTCAGTAGACTGGTGTTTTTGTCGCTTTCCTCCTGGAGCTCTCATTTTCTGCTTGTTGTGTCTTCGCTTCCGCTGGCTTGCATTCGTCCCACAATCGTTGTCCTCGGCTTCAGATAGATCAGAGTCTTCGTATCCAGAATCACCAGGGTTCAGATGTTCAGCGGGATTCAAAGATTCTTCAGTCTCAACTGTCTGTGTTGTAGCTGCTGTAGATGTAACTGCTGTGTCGGACTTGTCGTTGCCAGCTTTTCCTTGAGCGGCAGCGAATGCCTGACCACGGAGGCGTCGGGAAGGCACAAATGTGCAGTTGGCCTGTGTCTCTTGAACTCGGCGACGTCTTGCCCCAATTTCTTGAAGCAGCGCCTCAGGACCATGGGATTTCAAAGTACCAACAAGCTCTCGAAGGGAAGCACGGGCGTTGTGGAACCAGCTGTCAAAGTTACGACCTGTTCCTCCGCCCGATCTTGCGGGAGCTTGCGGTGTTCCGGTAAATCTTTGAAGTCGGGTGTAGTAGCTGTCGTTCGCCAAGATACTCCATGACAGAAGAACGATGTCAGCATCTTGAACATCCTGAATGGTAGTCTTGGTGATCGACTCCAGCGCAAGGACCTTGTATTTCTCTCCAAGGAATTTCTTGGTTTCCGAATACCATTGCTTGAACACGTTGTTCGGCACAATAATCAGAGTTGCCTTTGTGGGGATCAACCCATTGCTTTCGTCCGGAATCCGATTGCAGTCTCTTTCGTACTGTGCATCAATCAATCCAAGGACAATTGCCGTCTTTCCATATCCGACCTCATCAGCCAGCACGCCGCCACGAACAATCTTGGGGATTGTCGCTTTGACTTCGGCACGCCAGGGCATCAAAGGAAGAATGGATTCTTCGACTTCTTCTTCCATGAAAGGTGCAATGTCATCTATCTCTTGGGAGATCATCCAGCTGAGCGATTGCAGTTGCTCGGTGCGTAGATGATACATGAAGTTGGGAGGTTGTGATGACGGAGTATCGTTTGAATTGTTAAGTAATGTGAACTTGCGATCAGTCTCTTGTCGGGCCAGCTCGGACTTCTGCATATCGTATGCATGAGGAAGAAGTCGCCAGTGCGAGGTGATGTTCTCACGGCTTTCGAAGCCAACCAGTTTTCCATGTGCCTGGTGCATCAGAGCTTGAACGTTGAGAGTGAAGCATAATTCTCCATCTCCACGTTCGTTGATTCTTCTGAGGACCAAAAACGGCGAGGGTCGAGATTTTACGGCACGTTCATAGGTAGCAGCGTCCTGAGGATTCTCATAGGGAGTGATTCGGTCTTTGTTGTCCCGGCCCCAGATGATGTTGGGGGGAGGTGGATTGCAGACGTTGCAGTTATCAATCACTTCATTGGCATGTTCCGGACTTTCTGAATAAACGATCTTGTTCCATTCTTCAAAGTCGGACCATCCAGCAATCTTCGGGAATAACCAAGCGAGACCTTTCAGTTCTCTCATTGATACCACGGGATCCCACGCTTGCCACCCGAGCTTTGCGTCGGGCAAGTTGAGAATCATTTTTGGGGCGGACAATGAAGCGAGGGGAATGCAAGCATTATGACATTTCTGGTTTGTGATCGAGATCTGAGTTCCTCGCGGCAAGGCGTCGTGAGTTATCTGTTCAGAACAGATGTTCAACTTCACTCTGGGGACCTTGAGCCAACGACGACAATAGGCATTGACTTTGCTCGGACCTTTTGATGCATTTAAAGCTCTCCAAGTTGGGGACAACTCAGCGATGGACATTCTTTGTTCATATCCAGGAAGACGACTGTGATCAACAGCAAATACACAGGCATCGTCTTTGGGGAGGGTGAGCTTTTGCGTGTCAAGAAACAGGTAGATGGTAGGCTGGTTATCAGTGCTCTTCCTTCGGTACATTGCTCCGAGTGATGTACCACAGTGAGGAAGAGCTTCGTAAAATCCTCTAATGTTGTAGTCAAGGATCGCGAGATCGGCGTCTAGTGCATCGACGTAAAGATGAGTCCAGACTTGAGAGTTGATGAAATTGGCACCCTTGAGACCACATTCTGCTTGGAATGACTTGACTTGCTGCTCCGTTCCAGTGATCTTGACGGTGAATGCTGTGCTCGCGGGGGAACACACTTCCCAATTACCTTCAACAAACGACCCATCATTCGGTTTCATGCGTGCGATTGGCTTTGCTAGCACTTCTCGGATGGTGCTTCTCGTGCTCGCGGATTTGGGTGGCTTTGCGTACAAAAGCCACTGGATTGAGTCCGGTCCAATCTCAAGATACAAGCTGGAGTACGGTCCTTGATAAATGACTCGCCAACTCTTCCCGCGCTTCACTTCGAAAAATTGTAAAGCATCGGTGCAAAGTGATTTGACGGTGTGCATGAAGTCGTCCCAGAACGCTGAGAGGGTGTTGTCGGGGTAAAAAGGTTTGAATGCCTCGAAATTTTTTTCAGACAAACCAGAAAGCATAAGCTTCATGGGAACAAGTCCCTTGATATTCGCAATAAACTCTGACGGCTCAATTCGGGAGCGGAATTCACGTAGATATGAGTGCGTGGGATTTCCATAGCAGGAAATGCAAGCGGAATGTCCACAAAGGGAGCAGGTGAAAATTGAATTCTTGACCCCGGTCTGTCTCTCGCACGAGCAACACATGACGGTGTTTGCTGACAATGCTTTGAGGTCACGGTGGTTAACGGGGCGAGTTGAGGCCACATCGAGGCTGCTCCTCACAAGGCTATATTCCTTGCTGATGAGAAGCGGATTATCCTCGGTGCTATCAGGCTCGGTCGAACCCTCGTTGGTGTCAAGAATTTTATGCGCGGCGATCAGGCCCGCGAGCATCACTGCACAGACGACGGTGCTCGTCATTGCATTTCCAGCCATGTCCATCAGTTCGGCTTGAGTTTCTCTCGTTAGCAGCATCCGATCGAGGGGCAGCCCTTGCAGTGAAAGAGCCTCCGTGCCAGACACGGGCCCTCCACGGGTGGTTACGAATGGTATACCCTTTGGTGTCAGGCAACCAGCGATTCCAGACCCAGCAAGGCTGTCATGCCCTCGATCGACGCCTTGAGACAAGTCGATCCAACGCCTAGGTGAGATAAGAAGTTAATAATTTTTTCATCAAGTGATAGTTAGGGCAAGGTGAGGACTTACTCCTTGAAGTTCATGTCGTATCCACGAACAATCTTCTTCAGGAAATTCATATCCACAGTTTCCCATACTCTCTCTGGCTGCGTCTTCATAAAACGATGCCAGAAGAAGTCCGGTGCCCTGAGCATATTGACTCCGGGTTGGGATCGAGTAATCGGGCGTTCGTTGCCTAGTTCAAGCTCGTCACGATGGCGCTGATGACGAGCCTGGTAGTTCTCCCAGCTGATGTCGCTTCGGAACTCTAGGCATGCCTTCTTCTCGATGGACTCGAGTCGACGGTCGTCGTCGGACAACAAAAACATTCCGACAGGTGCACTTGCTCTCCGTTTGAAGGAGTCGACAAGGCCGCGAACGTGTTGGTCGATGGTTTTAATATCGACCTGGTTCTTGAGGTCTCCAAGCAGGCCCGCCGCTTCCAAGCGGCGCTTGTCAATGACCACCAAGTACCCACGTTCACGTGTCTGTGGAATGTAGTAATGTTTTGTGTCGACGTGTAGATCGACCGACATGTAGTCGAGGCCCTCCCAAATTCCCTTCATCTGCTCCCATGGGGCGGTCCGAACATTCTCCTGAATGATCAAACGGGGTCGATATTTCTCCGCGTACCGCAATAGACCGTTGAAGGTGGCCCCAGACTCTCCACCTTGCAGCAGGGTCTTCTTGCGGTTGTTCAGCGGAGAAAAATCGACACAGGCGGTTCCTGCAACTAATATGTCGAGGTTGCCAGGGATCAATTCCGGCGACCCGTAGGCCGTTCGCCTGTACATCGAGGTTAGTATCAATGTGGATGTGAACGAGAATGGGAGGGTCTACTTACGCCGTATCTCCTCCAAGTTCCGTGATGTCACGAAACAGGAGAGGAGGGCGGAAGTTCCGCTCAATGTATGATTGCTTGAGCGGAACAATCTCACAGCTGAAAGCGTGCGAGATCCGGAGTTGCTGGTCCATACCTAGACCTGAAAGGGTATTAGCCATTGATCCAAAGAAGAGACGAAAGCAAGCGACAAGTGAGCACTCAGAGAGATGGGGGTAAGGATGGAATGAGAGGGAGGTGACATAGAGTTAGGGCAAGGATGGGAAGCCCCAAATGCTCGGCGTCGCCAACAGTCAGGACGCCGATGACCTTAAGTCGCCGACGCTGATCCCATCGACCACCGACGGACGTCAACCTCATCCCCAATCGAAGACACAGTGAGTGCAACATGAGATGAATATGATGATACACTGATTTGATGATAGGGCACGATCGAGGCACTTACCCGTTGAAATCATGTCCAGGGCCAGTAACGGGGCTTCCGTTCCTGAACACATCGTTGCCACACGGAGTGGCCGCTTGCCGAGCCGACAGATGACATCCGACAATCCCATTTGAAGGGCTTTTGCCGCCATGTCAGCGAAAATATCTTCCAGCCTATGCAGAGGCGACAGATCATTGGCTAGATACCTGGTCTCAAGAACCAAGTATCCCCGCCGCAGCTCCGGAATCTCTTCGACCTCAGGGTCTTGATCATCCTTTGCCAGGTCAGCCACCGACTGCTGCTGGTTTGTACCCTCCTGAGAAATGATGACCGGAATCAGAGGAAGGGGGGAGGTGGTGTTGAGATCAGACATCATGGTGTTGAGACTGGACGAAGCCAGCCGCTGGTATACAACGAATGAAGCCTCACAGATGAGGAGATGTGCCACAAACGAGGTCAAAGACGTCGAGGGACTCAAGAATAGACGTGTTTGGACACAGGCACCTCAAAGGTCTGCAGAAAATGGGGTACTGCAAGTCTGGAAAGAGGCATGAGGGAAGGGAAGAAGAAGGAGAAGAGAACATCGGATTAGAAACTGAAAGAAGAGGGATGGCCGGCGGCTGGCGGGGGGGAGAGCTCGCCCGATTGGGATATCGTGACGCCAAAGATACGAGCGACGGCGACCATACGAGCGACGGTGACCATACGAGCGACGGTGACCATACGAGCGACGGTGATCATGCGAGCGATGGCGACAATACGACTCATCTACCCATCACCATGCTCCTAATCCAACCAGTACTATCGCTATAAAATGAGCCACAGCTACCAAATATCAGCTGCTTCTCTCTTTCCCATCATTCACATTACTGTGCAGATGCTCCCCTCAACTACTACTACTACATACTACATTTACCTCCAGTCCGAAAGCTGGATCTTCAATTCCTCGCCATATAATAGATGAAAATGCAGGAATGGTATGAATAAGACCAGTAAACAATACCAGTGAATACTGTCACACTGCATGTAGGGTGTCCATTGAAACAAGTATACAACTAGTTTGACGTTGATGAGGTAGGGCAAGCGAAGCACGTGCCATGCTTTCGGCGGGTGTCCGCCTCAATATAATTGCTGCCTTGTGGTATCAGGACATCCGGAGATCAAAAATAAAAAGCCTCAGTACAATCAGCCGATGCCATTTTGCTCAGTAATTTCCCCATTTAACAATGGTCTACGCTGCGGTAGTAGCCTTAATTCAGACCCTTCGCCTTGGCATTGGCGGGAAAACAGCCGAAGAGTCATTGGCCAAAAATACAGTACGACGGGACAAAGGCAGAATTGGAAATTTGAAGCAGGTACGCCGTGCCATTGCAGCTGCAGGGAAAAACTTGTGAACAAACCAGTAGATGCACGAGAAGAGTTCGATTGTAAGGTTCTAAGGCTACGATAAAGTGTGCAGAATCTCATTTGATTGCCATTTTGAAATTTAGCTTCGATTAAGCCGGTGGTATGCAAGTCCGTAGAAAAAGAAGCATCAAACTCCCTGCGCCATCCATTCGCCTAATAAAGTAGAATCAAAAATTTGGGAAACATCATGACCAGACGCTTTCATCTAGTCAGAGCAAAGGGATTTTCAAACCTCATAGAGGAAGAATCTCATGTCTCGATGCAACAAGCCGCTACCGCATACCGCCTTGCATAAGCTGCTGGCGGAGCAACATGATTTGACTCCGTTCCATAGGAGGGAGCGCATCAATCGTAGCTTGGGGCATGCTAAGCACTTGTTGGAGAAGCTCTTCCTGACCGTGCATCTGCGGAGCAGGTTGAGCAGGCGGGGGAGCGAAAGGAGTTCCGGTAACGGGGGGTGTAGAAATCTGACCCGGAACACCGTAGGGCTGGAACTGCTGGGCTTGTTGAGGAGGGGCTTGGGGTTGGGCCGCCTGTTCAACGATGGAACCGAGCAGTTGGTATTCGACCAGGTTCATAAGAAGTAGAGCCTGGAAGATGGCGTAGGCGAGCTGAGGTGCTTGGCGCAATAATTCGGTGGCACGAGCTGGGTCTGCAACAGCGAGGGACTTCATCTGGGTGAGGACATCGAGGAGTTGGTTGGGGGGGAGGGATGCGAGGGTGTGAGAGATGGCGTTCGGGCAGTCAATCTGTGGTGGCAGTTCAACTCCGGGTGGGAGGGGTGGCAATGGCGCTGAGCCGGGAATCTGTTGCTGCTGTGTGGTATCCTGGTTCATCGTCGGCTGGGACTGCTGCGAATAGTCCGGAGGTATGGAGTCCTTCTCGTTGTTGTGAGGCCAGTCGACACGGATCTTGCGGCCCATAACCTCGTGGTCGTTGAGGTTGCGCACCGCCGAGGCAGCGGAGTCTGGGTCGGCAAAGTCTGCGAATCCATAACCCTTGGGTTTGCCAGTCTCGGGATTCATCATCAATCGGAACTTGGTGACAGTACCGGCCGTGCTGAGGATGTCTTTGACTTGCTCCTCAGTGAGGTCTAGAGCTGAATTAGCATCGCGCTTGGAAAGCATCCTTTAAAGAGTACTTACTGTAGGGGATATTCCCCAGAAAGACACTCTTCCCAGTTCGATCAGGCGCCATGATTGCGATGCTGATCGGAAAATGAATACGAAGTTGAAAGTTGATGCGCGACAGAGGAGCTAATTCTGCCACCGCCGCAGCTTGACTTCACATCCACTTGAGCGTCAGACCAAGTCCGCCCTCATCCATCTCCATCCTCTCCCCACGCTTTTTCTCACATCATGTCTCAAAATCAACGAGAGGCCTGGGAGCGTCTACAGGTCATGCTGTCCCGGCGCAAGGCTGGCTTCGGCGGTGGCTTCCCCGGTGGTGGCCGTGGCGGTATGGGACTTGTCGGAACTCTTGTTCTGGCCGGTCTTGGTACCTACGTCGCTTCAAATGCCTTGTTCAACGGTATGTTATGCTGCAATTCTCGAGAAATTACGTCTCTAACTTGTTTCTAGTTGACGGTGGTCACCGCGCGATCAAGTACTCTCGCCTAGGTGGTGTTAAGAAGGAGATCTACGCCGAAGGTAAGAAAACTCCCTGGCTGAGAAAAGAGAGCTATCTGACCTTGTTGAATGATTCTAGGTACTCACTTCCAGATCCCTTGGTTCGAAACACCAATCATCTACGATGTCCGCGCCAAGCCTCGCAACATTCCCTCTCTTACTGGTACCAAGGACTTGCAGATGGTGAACATCACCTGCCGTGTCCTGTCCAGACCCCGCGTGGATGCCCTTCCCCAGATTTACCGAACACTGGGCCAAGACTTCGATGAACGCGTGCTGCCCTCGATCGTCAACGAGGTGCTGAAGAGCGTTGTTGCTCAGTTCAACGCCAGTCAGCTGATCACACAGCGTGAGATGGTTGCCCGTCTGGTTCGGGAGAACCTCGCTCGCCGGGCTGCCCGGTTTAACATTGCCCTGGACGATGTCTCTTTGACGGTATGTGACTATGCTCCAGCATTAATCTGAACAAATGCTAACAAGTTATCTCGTGCAGCATTTGACCTTCTCCCCCGAGTTCACCGCCGCTGTTGAGGCCAAGCAGGTCGCCCAGCAAGACGCCCAGCGTGCCGCGTTCATGGTCGACAAGGCTCGTCAAGAGAAGCAGGCATTCATTGTTCGCGCACAGGGTGAGGCCCGCTCGGCCGAGCTCATTGGTGACGCCATCAAGAAGAGCAAGAGCTACATCGAGCTCCGTAAGATCGAGAACGCTCGCCACATTGCCCAGATCCTCCAGGAGAACGGCGGCAAGAACAAGCTCTACCTTGATACCCAAGGACTGGGCTTGAACGTCAACGCCCACACCGAGGAGGTCAAATAAACTCATTCCACTTCAAACTTAATGGCGCTGCGAGGGATGTGAATTATTGTACAAATAGCTGGATTAACAATCATCCAAATGTGTTCTCTTCTCTGGTTTTTAAATCTTTCGTATCTTTCGTATCTTTCGTAAAAATATGTAGCTCTAGTTTATGGATGGTCATCGATATATATTTTCTCCGCGCGGGGACAAAGGCGGCGAGTACAATTTTTTAGTACGGAGGGGCACCACTTTTGCTTTGATAGTCCAACACACTCGACAAGCATTGTTGAATATAACATTGAATTCGTGAGTATTAACCAGCAAAATCCTCACATCTTTTTAGTCTTTTAATCGCGAAAGAAGTTCAACTAACAGCGACCAGACAATGCCCGAAGTCACTGACGACACCCCAATCCACCTCACAGAGGTCGACATCGACCTCGACGTGCAAGAGATCCTCCTAGCGTCCTCGCAGCATGACATTCCCAAGCTGCGCCGCCTCCTCCGCACCCAGTCTACCCTGCCCGATGCAGCAAACGTCAAAGACACCGAGTCAGGCTTCTCACCTCTGCACTCTGCGATCGCCGCCTGCGAGCCTGACAGCGACACGGAGGGCGCCCAGAACGGAGCCAATGGCGCCGAAACCTCAGAGCTGAACCCTAAGGGTCTGGACAACGAGACTCTGAAGTCAGCCGTGGAGACAGTCAAGTTCCTTCTGCAGGAGGGCGCTATCTGGAACGATCTCGACAAGAACAATGAGACACCCGGCTGTCTCGCTCGGCGCATCGGAGCTCTCGAGCTGTACGGCCTGATTGTTGACGCAGGTGTCCGCGCAGAGCTCCTATTGAACCGCCTCGACGCGTACGAGGAGCTATCCGACGAAGACGACGAAGAGGACGAGGAGAAGCAAGAGAACGACGAGAACCAAACCGAGACCGAGGCCGAGACCAACGTCAACGCCAACATCGAAACCGAAACCGAAACCGAGACAGTACCCGAACTTGTCGACGCCACAACCACCAACCCAGGCGTGAACAACCCACAATACCTGGAATCGCAGCTAAACATCCAGAACGACCGCATCCTAGACTCAGACCAGAACGGCGTAATGATGGCATGGGAAAGCGACATCATGCGCAAATCCGCAAAGGCACTTCTCCCAACCCCCGGACTGAAAGTGCTGAATATCGGCCACGGCATGGGCATCGTTGATGGATTCTTCCAAGAACAGCAGCCTGCCTCGCACCATATCATTGAAGCGCACGACGACGTCGTTGCGGAGATGAAGCGTCGGGGCTGGGATTCTAAGCCTGGTGTTGTTATTCACCAGGGTCGTTGGCAGGATATCCTTCCCGGGCTTGTTGCATCTGGGGAGATGTTTGATGCTATCTACTATGATACTTTTGCTGAGTCTTATGGTGATTTCCGGGAGTTCTTCTCTGAGCAGGTTATTGGATTGCTGGAGCAGGACGGCCGTTGGGGATTCTTTAACGGTATGGGTGCTGATCGGCAGATCTCGTATGATGTCTACCAGAAGGTGGTGGAGATGGATCTGTTCGAGGCTGGATTTGATGTGCAGTGGGAGGAGATTGTGGTGCCCAAGTTGGAGGGTGAGTGGGACGGTGTGCGGAGAGCTTATTGGGTTGTGGATGATTATAGATTACCGCTGTGCAAGTTTATGGATTAAGAAGGGATTTGGGATTACTGAAGACAGAAGTTGGACTCGAAAGAGAACCGAGAGAACAGACATTGGATGTCTATGACTGAATGCGACGCTTGAAAATGCTAGGCAATGGCTAAAAGAAACAATGTACAAAATCACATACATCACAGTTGAATCAAATCCACCTCGGAGAAATCTGGAGGACTGCGACTGAATATCGTCCGACACTTGGCGTCCAGCGCCTGGTATTCGTTGCTGACCCAGACGTGTTTGCTGAACCGCTGAGTACGGTAAACTTCATCATCACTCACACCCAGATCATCGCGTGGAATCCAGATGACCGGCCGCTTGGCGCGAAGCGCTTCGTGTTGGAAGGCGCGCTGCACCAGCTGATCGCGCTCGTCGGGCGTGAGATCCTCCAGTTCATCATGGATACCAGCGAAGAGGGCTTGGCCAACTGTGTTTGGGGCAGGTCCCTGATTTTCGGTGTCGAGAGCCATCTTCTCTCGCATAGCTCGGATGGTTGGTGTTGAGCTTGGTGGGTTGAGCCCGAAATACTTAGATCGTCGTCTGGATGCATTGGTTGCCCACGATGGACGTTTGTGCTCAAGCTTGGGCGTTGGAAAAAGACTACCAGAATCCTGTCGCTTCTGGTCTAGGCCACTGGTCTCCAAGGGTTTTAGCTCGATATCCCGAGCATCTTGTCCTTGTTGGCGCTCTCGGCGTTCCTCCTCTGCGAGGGCGTGTTCAACATCATTTACCTCATCGTCATCAATGGCAAGCCCGAGGCGAGCGTGCTGAGCACGGCGGAACTCATCATCGCGTTTGATAGCAGCCTCCTCCAAGGTGATCGGTAGATATCGAATCAGCGGACTGAAGGCGTCATTGAGGAGGATTTGGTATCCAGCGGTCAAGACCAGGATCACAATCATGCAAATAGCCTGCCCCTTGCAAGCAACGTTATCTTTTTCATCACGAACCAAGAAGAACAAGCCAATCAAGCAGACCTCCATCACGTATAGTCCGGTGAATAATTGATTGATTGCTCGAGGGAATAGAAGACCGCCGGTGTCGAAACGGAATTTGGTGACGTAGAGTGTGTTGTAACGATAGACGAACCAGAAAAGGCTGAAGGTGATGATGTTGAAAATCAAGATCAGAGGCGCAATGACCGAGTAGATTAACCCTGTGAGAATGTCAGACGAGTGCTTAGTAAAGCAGCAAGAGATATGACTTACCAATGGAAGCCAGTGTGGTATAGACCGGGAAGAACGTGCCCCATTGCATCTGATTGAGGTTGGTCGTTCGAGCCCACTTCTTCCGAGCAGTTGAATCCAGAATGGGTGCCAGAATGAACCAGCTCACCAAGCCAAAGATTTGCACAAGAGCACCAGCGCTCACAGACATGGCTTGCAGAATCATGTAAGAGAAGAAGTAGTTACTGGACTTGGGGATGTTCGAAGCCAAGAGTTCCGGCCAGCTCGTCACGTCAGTGATATTCTCGATGACTGTTGAGAAACTCGAGGCGATGGTAACAACCAAGAACAGCTGTACAAAAAGGAAGGCAAAGTAGTAGTTTTGTACGGTGAGTTCGATAGACATGCCCGTGAAGAGACCCTGCGTACGACTCAGGAAGCGGAGAATGAGGGGAAGAAGTGCCATCAGGATAGCCAAACACAGCGCGGGAAGAATACCCTGGACAGCAGAAATAAACCAGTCTGGTAGCTTGCCAAGCCAAGCCAGCCATGTGAATGCACCCTCGAGATATGAAAGTTGTGAGAGCAGACCAGTAAAAGCAACAGGGAAGGCCCAACCAACAACCATTGCACACACCAGAGTTACAATTCCAAAGGTGCGAAGATAGCGCTCCCACCATTTGATGGACATATTATCCCAAATGACATCGTCGGGGGAGATTTCGACGACTCGGGGTGCCATCTGCTTTGGGAGGTGATGGCTGACAGCTTGACAGGCCATGTGGGCAGCAACCTGGTGATTGAATTGGACGAAAGCCGAGTTCATCAGAGGGAACCGCTCAGGATGCTGCTGATCGATCTCGATTTCCAGGTTCAAACGAGCGAGCTCTTTGCGGCAATAATCGATAGTGTCAACCTTTTTGCCAAGGAGCCAGATAGAGGGCATCCAACTCCAGCCAAAAATGGGCAGACGCATGGTATCCCGATCCTTGGGTCGAATGTATTCCTTCCACAGTGGCTCTCCATAGTCCTCAATGTCGAAATTTTCATTGTAGGCGAGAGGGTATTCTTCCTCTTCCATTTTGTCTCCCTCTTTTTTGACATCTGATTTGTCTTTTTCGTCATTAGCGGCCTTGACAGAACCATGGGGAAATGCATCGGTAGCAGGGGTGTCAGGCGCGGTCAGTGGATATTCATCAGGTTCCGCCGTACCCTGGGATTTCGTATGAGATGACATTCGTCTCCAAAATGGTGGTTTTAATAATGCTTTATCGCGAGACTTGGTGTCGCTACGACCCGGGTGGGGGGTTTCTGGCAGCTGCTGAGATCGAAGAGACTCCCCAGAAGACTTCTTGCCAGCGACAGCATGACCGGTGCCTGGAGGTGTGTTCCCACGGGGCGGGAGAATGTCGTCTGTGGTGGCAACGAAGCCTCGGGTCTGAGTCAAAGTCCCTTCGAACCCATTCTCAGCTTTTTTGAAACCCCCAAGCACAGATTTGCCCAGTTTCCCCACGCCTTGGCCAACTGCTCCAGCGGCTGCAAACGCAGGGTCAAATACTCGTCGAGGTCCATCCTCGGATCTTTTGGCATGTCCGTCTGCTGGCCCGTGGAGCATTTCTTGTAACGTGTGGGCATCGTGAGGATTGCCGGTGCTGACACCCGGGCCCATGGCGATTTTGGACGCCCGTTTGTCGGCCGCTTTCTTCTCTTGTTTCTCCGCACGCGTTGTGCTCTTCCCGGCTTTCTTTGCCTCAGCCTTTACTCTCTTGAGTTGTGCCTCTTTGCATTTCGAGATCAGGTCGGTCTCGGCACTTTCAAGTTTAAGGGCAAGTTTGTTCCGCGCCTTCACTTTTTCATTAAGGTCGTCAAAGTTCCGATTGATCCAAATGTTCCTCACGCCCCCGGGGAAAACATCGAACAGTCTATCAAGCGCATCCATATCAAGCCAATCTGGCGGGATGGAAGTGACCAGCACGGTGGTCGCAGAAGCACGAAGTCGATGTTGAGGAGAAGTCAGGTAGGCCTGTCGTAGACGAATAAAGCCCCGAAGCTCATCGAAGAAGACGGCACAGACGTAAATGATGACAATCAAAGCCATCACCAAATGGGCCCAATATCGGTTCGTGTGTTCAGGTTTGACATTTCCCCATGCCAACTGGTCCAGGCCAGTAACACTCCATCGATCACCAGCAGTGCCATTCTTAAAAGATGTACCTTTGCCGCCGGCGCGATTGATCGGAAGTAGAACTGGCAGAATCAGAAGTCCCAAGGGGAGGAAGATCTTCAGCAGCATACGCAGATAGCGCAGGAAGAAGTATGCATCTAGCCCACATTTCTGGATGAATTCGGAACTGGAGGTACGGAAGACAGGGCCAACCCAGTGAAATAGGCCTGGTGGAGATGGTTTGGTCCGTTCTCTATCTGGTACCAAATAGGTTCGAGGTTGGCTGGACACAAATTTCAGTGAGCAAAGCTTCCTTTCGGTGGGGATGGTTGTACTTACTATATACGAGTGAGTTTGCCTTTTAGCAGGAGGAAGAGCAAAAATTCGACAACAAAAACCACAATGGCCGTCGCCAGCGAGGCCAAGAAGGTTGAAATCGAGACACCCTCTGCCGTTCGGCCATGGCCACCGCTGTGCTCCAGCGCTTCTTCCAAGCCCGAGACCATGACGATCAGCTCGGGTAGTGCCGATCAAAACAAAGGTAGAGCAAGGGCAGTTAGGACACTGAGGGAGGTTCAGAAGAGTTCACTGCAAGCAGCATAACGAGGTCCACAGATATGTTAAGGGAGCAATATCCTGTCGCCTAGGAAATTTCCACAAGAGCTGATAAGGGAAAAAATAACAAAGGGAATCCACCTGAAGGGGCTAACAAGGCGCCGGTGGGATCAGTAGTGGGGTTTGAAGAGCCAGACAGGATGTCGTATTTACTGTTCAACAATGACACGAGTGGCGTGAAGATTGAGCTCGGGTTCAAGATTTTGGGATGGCGAACAGGGATTGGAGGGATCGTGAAAGCGCCGATCGGAAATAGAATGACATCAGGCGCTAGGTGAAACAGCCAAACAAGTCCAGCGGCTGCAGGGAGATTGGATCAAAGCGAAGAAGCAAGCCTGCTTTGTGCAACCCAAACGCCACAATTAGGGGAAAGTACATACTCAGGTAGTAACAAATGAGGTCTCAGTTACATCTACAATGAAGCTACCAGGGCAAGAGCGGTGATTGGTGGTGCGGCTTCGGGGGTGGCGGTGCAGGAACCAGTGAAGATACGTCAGCCACACCAAGGTAAACATATCACGTGCTGTTATCAGGTGATGTGGCTCGGATACAAACACACGTCGTCCTAATCGGGAAACCACTTAACGCGCTCATCGCGTCGGCAGAAAGCGCGTTCCGCCCACAGCTTTTTGCTCTCCCTTTCTTCCCTTACCCGACCATCACCATCCACCATCACCTGAATTCATACCCACAATGTCGTCACCAGCACAACGACGGAGGGGTCGTCCCTCCAAAAATGCTTCTTCGCCTACTTCTTCATCTAGACAGGAGCCCCCTAGCAGTCCAACTTTTCAAGCCACCCCCCGTGCTTCGAGACGGCTAATGGCCGAAGGTGTCGCCCCTTCTTCATCACCAATTTTCTTCCAATCATCCCCTACCAAGGGAAACAACAATGCTGAGACTCCTGATGAGCGGATGGCAGATGCCAGCTCAACGGTGGACGATGGAGAAAGAACCCCACGAGGAAATACGGGTGTAAGAGGTATGAAATTTTATGCCACACGAGTCTTTCTTGTTTGGTCATCAAATTGCTAACCCTTATCAGACTCTTCCCCAATTAATTACATCCCAAGTTCCAGCCCAACCCGCGGCTTCGGCCGATCTGATATTCGCTCAGACATTCGCTCCGATGCCGTGAGCACCAGCAGTGGATTGTTTGTGTCTCCGGGACGTCAGGGCCGACGTGGAGCTCCTCGTCGCAGTGATTTGCACTCTGGTGGCTTTGGATCCACTCCCGCTCGCCGCAATCGCCTGTTTGTCGATGGCAATGGAATGCCTGCGGCAGGTGAACCCCTCCCTCGCTCCGATGCCACTTTCTCGAATATCAACCCCGGCACTTCCGAGGCCGAGGCCATGGCTGGTAACTCGACCCGTGTGATCTGGGGTACCAACATCTCGATCCAGGATTCCATGTCAGCATTTAAGAACTTCTTGTATAATTTCGCCACAAAGTACCGTCTTTGGGCTGACGGCGCAACCGAAGATGAGACCAGAATCATGGGTGAGGCAGCTGAGAGACGCGAGTATATCACCATGCTGAACGACCTCCGACGACTTGGTGTGACGACCTTTAACCTCGATATTGCAAACCTCAAGGCATACCCTCTGACTCGCAAGTTATGGCACCAGCTTGCTGCATACCCACAAGAAATCATCCCATTGATGGATCAGACTGTGAAGGATGTCATGGTCGATTTGGCCCTTAAGGAGATGGATGTTCTGCGAACAGAGGCTCAGCGGGGAGCTCATGGCCGTGACCGACGGGGCCAGTCTATCCTCACCTCGGACGGCGTTGTGCCAACTGCAGATGTACCTGATCTGGTCGGCGAAGTGGAGGCAATGACCTTCAAGGTGCTTCCCTTTGGCTTGGATGAGACCGTGAACATGCGAGACCTCGACCCTGCTGATATGGACAAGCTGGTCAGCATCAAGGGTTTGGTCATTCGTGCTACTCCCATTATCCCTGACATGAAAGAGGCTTTCTTCCGCTGCAGCGCCTGTAGCTATGGTGTTCAAGTCGACATTGACCGTGGCAAGATCACCGAGCCCACAGTCTGCCCGCGCGACTCCTGTAAGGAGAAGAACTCCATGCAGCTCCTTCACAACCGTTGTTCATTCTCCGACAAGCAAGTCATCAAGCTTCAGGAAACCCCAGACAACATCCCCGATGGACAGACTCCTCATTCAGTGTCTCTATGTGTCTACGATGAGTTGGTTGACATCTGCAAAGCTGGTGATCGTGTGGAGGTCACTGGTATTTTCCGCTGCAACCCTATGCGCGTCAGTGCTCGCCAGAGATCTCAGAAAGCCCTATTCAAGACCTATATCGATGTTCTTCACGTGCAAAAGGTTGACCGTAAGAAGATGGGCATTGACATGTCCACTGTTGAACAAGAGATGTCTGAGCAGGCAGCCGATGCCGAGCAGGGTCGCCATATCTCAGCTGAAGAAGAAGAAAAGATCAAGAGAACCGCGTCTCGTCCCGATATTTACGAGCTTCTGTCTCGTTCTCTGGCTCCCAGTGTCTACGAAATGGATGACGTGAAGAAGGGTATTCTACTCCAAATGTTTGGAGGTACAAACAAGACCTTCCAAAAGGGAGGTAACCCGCGCTACCGTGGCGACATTAACGTGCTTCTCTGCGGTGACCCTTCGACATCCAAGTCGCAGCTGCTGCGCTACGTCCATAAGATTTCCCCACGTGGTGTCTACACCAGTGGTAAGGGTTCTTCGGCTGTCGGTCTGACTGCCTATGTCACCCGTGACCCTGAGACCCGTCAAATGGTTCTGGAATCCGGTGCTTTGGTTCTGTCTGATGGTGGTGTTTGCTGTATTGATGAGTTTGACAAGATGAACGAGGCCACGCGGTCCGTCCTTCACGAAGTCATGGAACAGCAGACCGTGTCTATCGCCAAAGCCGGTATTATTACTACCTTGAACGCCCGAACATCCATCCTGGCCTCTGCCAATCCCATCGGCAGTAGGTACAACCCTAAACTCGCTGTTCCTCAGAATATCGATCTACCGCCTACCCTGCTTTCTCGTTTCGACTTGGTGTACCTGGTCCTTGACCGCGTGGATGAGACGGAAGATCGTCGCCTAGCCAAGCACTTGGTTGGCATGTATCTGGAGGACAACCCCGAGAACGCCAGCTCTGAGGAGATTTTGGTAAGTTGACTTTCCATACCATCCATGACTCAACCCCCTAATACTCTATATAGCCCGTCGAATTCCTCACAGCCTACATTACATATGCCAAGACCAACTGCCACCCCGTGATCACCCCTGCCGCCGGTTCTGCTCTCATCGAGGCCTACGTTGCTATGCGCCAGCTGGGTGACGATATCCGTGCCCAGGAGCGCCGTATCACCGCCACCACGCGTCAATTAGAGTCCATGATTCGACTGTCCGAAGCCCACGCCCGCATGCGCCTGTCTCCGGAAGTCACCGCCGGTGATGTCGAGGAGGCCGTCCGCCTCATCCGCTCCGCCATCAAGCAAGCGGCCACCGATGCCCGCACCGGTCTCATCGACATGGGTCTCTTGACTGAGGGTACCAGTTCTGCCGACCGCCGTCTACGCGAGGACCTGAAGAAGGCCGTGCTGTCCCGCCTCGACGAGCGCGGTGGTGTGACTGGTGGCTCCGTTCGCTGGACGGACCTCTTCCGGGACATTAGCGAACAGAGCGACAACAAGCTCGACCACAGCCAATTTACTGATGTGGTGCGCGTCCTGGAGACGGAGGGCTCTGTGAATGTGTTTGGTGAAGGTCCTCGCCGCAGTATTCGTCGGGCGGCGATGAGCATGTCCTAGGTGCCCGCGATGATACCATGATGCGATGATTAGGCTGCATGTCATCCCTGACCGCTTGAGGGTGTCTGGCGTTTGTTATTTAGTTCTACAAATTAGTATGAATAATGCTATGAGACTTGTTCTCACTCGAGTTCCCCGCTATATTAGATGCCATACTAGTGATGACTCGCGCGATCCTCGGCGGTATATATCTTTCCACGTTCAACTGTCTCAAGGTTCCCATCCAGCTAATATACATATACGAAGGGGATACGGGAAAAATATAGTTATAAATATGAGACTATTCGAAACAATTTGTCTTATACAGAAATGTCTAGTCAACCACCTGACCCTAACCTCATGCATGTACATAGAGTGTGTGCAACTTGGTCACGAATCACCATGCACGTACTGTAGACGCGAGGATGGTGCGGGGCTGGGATCGTCTGGCTGCAGGTGCCTCGATCCCGGGTCCTGCAAGGATAGGAACTTAAAGGTATGCTAGCAAGGGAGAGTTTAAGTGGCTGGATTAGTACTTGGGGCACTTGGTATAGAGTGAGTATAGAGTATACAGTAGTGGCATAGAGAGAGTGAACAAGGTAATTTATTTTTATATAAAAAAGTTGAGTTGCATGACCCGAGTAGAGACAGACTAACAGTTAAGAGGTAAACAACTGATACTGACCGCGCACGTGCGCCCGTGACTGGCCAGACGTTCAACGTCATGAGATGACTCAGCAGCCTGTGTATTAAGGTTACAGTACGGTATATTTCGATGTTCTCGCAGCATTGCTGGAATATGGGAATATTTGGGATGGTAAGTAGATAGAATAGACAAGATATATAGACAATCAGATCCTACATTTTAACAATATATTCGTATCCCATGTTATATCCTAGTTGTCATTGAATCTCGAATATTGTATCACTGGGCCCGTCACCCGCTAGTCATCGACCTAACCGAGTCCGGCACATGGCTTCGCCTTCGACAGTCGAGCTACAACCCTTCGGCTCATTTGCTCTTTTTTTTTGCTGCCTTTCTTTCACTTTTGTCTTCCGACATGAGCTTGGAATAATCTCTCTTCCTTTTCCATCTTTTCGCCCATCATGAGGTAAGGGTCTATCGGGGAATGCCTGAATGCCTGTTCCCATTCCACTCCCCGCATACCCTACTAAACCAATTGTTCCGCAGGTTCGGTGAATATCTCCGCTCTTCCATGATCAAGGAGTACTATCCGTACTACATTGCCTATGACGAGCTGAAGAAAGCTCTGAAGACCGACTTCGTTGACGAACCCACCTCCGATAACACCAAACCCGCCCGCAAAGAATGGACCGAAGACGACGAGACACAGTTCGTCTCACTGCTCGAGAGCGAGCTGGAGAAGGTGTTCCTGTTCCAGAAGCGCAAGAGCGAGGAGATCGTCGATCGCATCCAGGAGAGCGAGCTCGAAGTCAATGATGTCGTCTCCCGGCTGGAGAACACGGCCGACGCCCGTCGCTCGAGCATTCGACCTTCCCGCCCGCCGCCTACGGACAGCGACTTCTTGCAGCTGGAACAGACGCTGAGTGATATCATTGCCGATGTTCACGATCTGGCCAAGTTCACTCAATTGAACTACACGGGTTTCCAGAAGATTATCAAAAAGCATGATGTACGTTTCCCTCTCAAATTCAAGTCAATCCAATCAGCCTGCTAACAGCCCTCCCAGAAAGAGACGCAATGGTACCTGAAACCGGTTTTCGCTGCGCGCCTGAAAGCCAAGCCTTTCTTCAAGGATAATTACGACGCTTTTGTGGTTAAGTTGTCCAAGCTGTATGACCTGGTCCGAACCAAGGGTAACCCGGTCAAGGGTGATGCGGCCGCTGGTGGGACCCAACAAAACTTTGTGCGTCAAACCACGAAGTATTGGGTGCACCGGGACAATATTACCGAGTTGAAACTGGTTATCCTGAAGCACCTGCCGGTTCTAGTCTTCAATGCCAACAAGGAGTTTGAGGAGAAGGACACAGCTATTTCCTCCATCTACTACGATAACACGGATACTTGGGAGCTGTATCAGGGCCGTCTGAAGAAGACAGAAGGCGCGGAGGCTATTCGCCTGCGTTGGTATGGTGGCATGGAAAGCGACCAGATCTTCGTGGAGCGCAAGACTCATCGCGAGGACTGGACTGGAGAGAAGTCGGTTAAGGCGCGTTTCGTACTCAAGGAGAAGCACGTCAATGCCTACCTTGACGGCCGGATGACGGTCGAGCAGATCTTTAACAAGATGCGCAAGGAGGGCAAAAAGAGCGCGTCAGAGATTGATGATTTGGAGCAGTTGGCGCGTGAGATCCAATACCGGGTTATCACTCGGCGCTTGGTACCTGTTACCCGAACATTCTACCACCGTACAGCCTTCCAGCTGCCAGGTGATGCTCGTGTTCGAATTTCTCTTGACACTGAGTTGACCATGATCCGCGAGGACAACCTGGACGGCCGCCGACGCGCGGGAAAGAACTGGCGTCGAACAGACATTGGAGTCGACTTCCCATTTTCCCAGTTGCCTCCTGAGGACATCGACAGATTCCCATATGCCGTGCTGGAAGTCAAGTTGCAAACCCAGGCAGGCCAGGAGCCTCCCCAGTGGATTCGGGACTTGACTGCCAGTCACTTGGTCGAGGCTGTTCCCAAATTCAGCAAGTTCATTCATGGAACTGCCACCTTGTTCCCCACTCGCATCAACCTGCTTCCCTACTGGTTCCCTCAGATGGACGTCGACATCCGCAAACCCGTCACCCGTCAATACGGTATCCACCGACCGCTGGCGAGCACTTCTATCTCAGCCAACGACGAAGACTCGGATGATGACGAGACGCCAGTAACAGAGGAGAGCACTGTGTACGGGGCCAACGAGCACCAAAATGGCCTCTTCGAGAACAATGGCAATGCACTGGATATCGAAGAGCGCATTGCTGCCCAACCTCTACCCGGCGACGACGATTATCCTCTGTACGACTCCGATGACGAATCAGTTTACTCCGATGAGCTAGAAGAGGCTCGCCGCATCGGAGGCGCCTACTACGCCCAGCAATTGGCTAAACACTACCTCGCTCGCACCGGCCACGCCGTTGTACAGGGCCTAATGGCCATAATCCCCCGGCCGCGCCCAACATCCCTGCCACCCCCCGAACAGCGTGGAATCGCCGTCATGGGTAGCCGTCGCACCTTCCAGCGCTTCCACGCCCCCGCCGGAAAGCGTGAGTCACCCCCAAACCACCAATCAACCCACCCCATAGCCCAAATTCAGACCAACTAACAAAACAACAGGAATCTTCGTCCCCGTCCGCGTCGAACCAAAAGTCTACTTCGCCGCCGAACGAACCTTCCTCTCCTGGCTCGAATTCTCCATCATCCTAGGCGGCATCGCCGCAACCCTCCTAAACTTCGGCACTGACTACGTCACCCTCAGCTCCTCATGGGCCTTCACCATCCTCGCCGCAGGTGCTTTAGTCTACAGTCTCTTCCTGTACATCTGGCGCGTGGACAAGATCCGCAAGCGCCGTGACGTCAAGCGCGTCTACTACGAGCGCTGGGGTCCGACGGTTGTCTCTGTTGGTCTTGTTGTTATCATTCTTCTTAACTTTGGTTTGCGTGTGCGTATGGGCGGTTTTATTGCGCTGCCGGGGTCGCAGAGGTCTGGTGGTGAGAGGCATGGTGGGGAATTGTGATTGGATTACCTTTTGGTTGATTCATTGATGGTATTTGGTCCAGTCTAGTCTGGTCGAGTCTTATACGTGATGTTTGTCTCGATATTTTCTTGTCACTATCCTTGTCCTTGTGTTTGTGTGCTTGCGCTCATGAGCGGCCCTTTCGGATTGTTTTGTATCTAGTGTGTTGGCGTTGTGGTGGGGCGTTGAGTATTGTATATCATGTATAAAGTTCATGCATGGATTTGCAAATATCAGATCTTATAAGTTTACTTCTTGCTTTTGTTCCGTATGCAAGCACATGTACATGTACAAGTAAGTTATTCCAGAGCTAACTTAACTCATCTCCACGTCTGTACCGCGGTCCTAGAGCATGTACTTGAACGAAAGTACTAAATAAAGGCAAGAACCAACTGCATTGTAAATCTCAAAGGTGTCTGAAGCTGGTTTGTTTGTGCTAGAATGATACTTTGGGATGGGTTTGCCGATAAGAGGTTGTTTGGATGCTTCTTGGGACTTACCATCGGAGGTGGGTGGATACGTGTTGCGAGGAGGTACTGGGTTGAGGCTTTGGTCAGTCCTGTCTTTGGCTTGGGAGGTTGAGATGGTGGTCTTTGAGGTCTTTCGGACGAGGAAGCATGATGGATAGGAGGAAGAGATGGACGTGGATGAGAGGATGTCGGACGTACGATCGGTGCTGGCGTTCAAGGCTAAAGTTCAAGCGTAATGAGCATCTTGAAGATAGTTGCCTAGGAGGGTTAGGGGAAGAGAAAGACAGGAAAGGCGAAGAAGGAAGGATATAAGGATGAGAAGGGTGCAGAAAAGGAGAGGCGATCAAAAGGTCAGAACGAGGGACTGAGCTCTTGTGAGACTAAGAGGGCGTTGGGGTCATTAAATTACTAGTTACAGCCGTCTACTGGAATTATGAACTCGACGGGGATATTGATCTCATTGTCTTGACTCCAAGAGCTAGCAAGGTAGATCTATGGAGCAGCCCGCAAATATTAGGAGGGTTAGAAGAACCGCTCAAAAAAACATCCATGGAAATCCGTAAATATGGCTATTCCCTAGAACTGCACACGGAAGGCAGATACTATGGCAGCCAGACAGGACACGAGCCAGGGCACAGAAACAGTCAAGTAGAAGCAGAGACATAACCCAATGCCGCTGAAAGCAGCACCAAGGAAACAAAGCCTCATCGGCCTCAGCATCCATATCCATATCCTCCCAAGCCATAGGCATCCCGATCCTGCAACGCACCACTAAGTACCAAACATCTCAAGTCCGTCAGGCACGTTTCCGTCATGGTACTCGCAGTGTCCATCCCCGAAAGAACGGGCAAGGAGCTGCAAAACATTTCGAGGGTGCTTGGTATCGAGGTAATAGCGGACGTGGCGGTCCTTCTTGACCTCATGCGAGAGGCTGTTCCAAATCAAGGCACACGCGGTATCGATCATGTGCACATACCACAACTCAAGTTCGTGGCCAAGTGGCAGGGGGCGAAAGTCACCATCAATGACACTGTAGACCCCATGCTGAAGGAGGACGAGTGCCAGAGAAGACCGCCAGATCTTGTAGTCGGTGGTTCCGTTAACGGGGACTCGTAGGGGAGTCAATGGGACTTCGATGACCTCGTTGCTGAGAAGGCGCATTTGAACGAAGGCTTTAATGGCAATGATGGTGACTGCTTGCTTCTCGGCACAGCTGTGGGCTGGACCGGGGTGGGTGGGCTCTGTGTGTGGTTTGTTAGTGATTTCTTGACATCAGCAAAGGGTTGGTGTCCTGGAAGGAATGGGTAGTTGGAGGGGCAGAAGTATCCAGATCTAGACGTGGTAGATGTTTGCGTTGGGTTGGATGTTTGGATACAGCCCTGGTATTGTCATTTGTGCTTACCGTCGTTAACATTGCCCCCGTCAGGAGCAGTGGGACGAGCATCAGCAGCAGTGGGACCCGCGTGGGCAGCGGTGGGACCAGCACCAGCAACTTTAGCCCTAACACCGGCAACAGGAGAACCAGCATTCGCAACATTGGAGCGAGTATCAGCATCTGCATCTGCATCGCCATGAGAGGCAGCAGGAGAGGAGACCGAGTATCCAAGTCGGTGTCTAGATACAGATCGTATATGTTAGAAGAATTTTCGAGAAAGAAGAAGCCTGTGCAACGACTGGAGCCAAGGGTAACAGCGCTCGTATGTATGTGGTACTCACACTCGGTGGACTTCACAGGAGCATCCGGAATAGCGGAGGTAGAGGAAGTGGCAGAGACAGGGTCACCTTCCGCATTGGTGCCTGAGCCGAGTTTGTATGTGTTAGAAGAAGCCTTGTTCAATGCCTAGGGGTGGGGGATGGGATGTGCTCCTCACTCTCGGTGATCTTTCCCAAAGCGCTAGCAGGAGTAAACGCAGTAGCGGAAGGCGAAAGAGCCGCCGACTCGATGCCTAGACATAGTTCGTGCTTGTTAGCCAAGCTCTTCGTAGTGATTTCACAGTTGGAAGAGTTGGGATGTCAAAGCTCTGAGATGGATTCTAGTACTCACGCTGACTGAGAGGCTCATTGGAAGGAGTCATCATGGGAGCTGCTGGTTGAGAGTTGTCAGTATCTTGTGTGGTGTTGGACACCAAGGAGATGATCTCAAGATCTGCTAGATGGGAGGCGAGGAAGGATGGGAAATAAGGAAGATGGAATGGGAGGGAGCAGACATACACTTCTTCTTGTTCCTAATACGGTGAGACTTGGTGTTGGAAGACATCATCGTGGCTGATGAGAAGAGTGGTTGGAAGATGAAGAGGGAAGAAAGTTGGGGTGGGTGAGAAGAGAGGAAGGAAAGCAGACGAAAAGTTCAGAGAGAGATACAAGTCAACATTCTCTGGGGCTTTTCCTCACACAACAGTCTTAAGGCCACTCTTCAGCCACTAAGCTGGTAGAAATTATATTCAGAGACATGGCATGGACACCGTATGTAGGTCACACGGGCTTAAATACGAAGCCCTTTCTCGGCTACATTCAGTTTGCTTAAGTCTTGTCATTTTGACAAGAGATATATTAAGAGGCTACACGTTCAGACTGCTTGCTTTCAACCGTAGGGTATCATTTATGGATGGTGGCCATTGAAAATCCATTGAATTTGTTGACTTCGAGAATTAGCAAATTTAGGGCAAGATACCACGGAAGAGGGAAGGCAGAAGTGAGCAGGCGGTTGGGTGTAGAAATAAGGACATTGCCATGAAGTGTCCCAACATCAGTATCTCAATCTAGCGAAGATATCCATGGACTATCGTGTTACCTAACTATCACTGTATAATCATCGTCTTCTTCCTCAGTCAAATCATTGCGGCGATCACGTGTATAGTCCGGATTCCGACACACATCCCCAATGAGAGTAAGAGCAAGACCAGGATCGCCAGAATGATCCCAATCAGGACCTCCGTCGTGCATCAAAGCTTCCCCGAAATGAGGGTACTGCTCCTTGAACCCATCAGAGACACTGAGCCAGATCAGGGTCATGGCATGATAGATCATTCGTTCATACCACACATATAGTGGATGACCCTCATCCAAACGTTCAAGTCCGGAGATGACCGGCCATACACCATGCTGGCGTAGTGAGAGTTTGATGTTAACATACCATGCCATGTAGTTGCTGGGGCCTTCGAGGGGGGTAGATGGGAGTTTGGTGCCCAGTATCTTGCCTTCTTGGATGTCTCGGAACATCTCTATGGCGCTTGTGGTTCTGGTTTGGAGATAGGACGGTTCGAAATTGAGAGTATCATAGAAGTTGCCTGTGCGGTCGGTACGTTTGCGTTTGGTGCCATGGTCAGACTCAATTTTCACCTCAGAGGAATCGCCTGGCATGGTGTTGATGGGTTCTGTAAGTGGCTTGTTAGTAAAATATTCATATCGGGTGAAGAGACCACCAGGGGGAAGATGTTCTCTGATAGCGGGGGAAGATGGAGCCAAAGGAGCCTCCAGGGCGGCGAGGCGGAATTGTGTAGTTCGGGGTCATTTGCTGGCATATAGTGATCTTGCCACTGATGTATGTACACACGCTGGTTACCATTTCCTAAGCCAGTGGCGGTATCAGAGGACGAGAGAAGTTGCCGTTCCATAGATAGAAGCCTTTCCCTGAAGGTTCTGTTGGGAACTCGGGGTTGAACGTGTGCATTTGCATTCAGATTTCCACTCTGACCGGGTGGTAACTCGGTGTCCTGAGAACCAAGTTTTGCTGGTTGAGGACATATGTTAATTTTGAGGGGAGTAGGGGCAGAGAAAGAGCTTCTGGGAGCCCTTCTAACGAGTGGGTTGGAACAATGGAGCGGTTATGTGTCAGGCGTACCTTTCTTGCGCTTATGAGTAGAGCTAGGCCGGTGTCCATGGGGCATATTGACAATGGCTGCTATCAAGAGTGGTGAATGAAAGCAGTTGAAGATGCCAGAGAGATATTGGAAGAAAGAGGAAGGATGAAGTGATTATATTTTCGACATACCTTTCTTGCAATGAGGTACTGGTACTGTGGCTGCTAGTAAGAGAGCGGTGAATGGAAAGAAGATGCAAAGGAAAGAGAACTTGGAAGAAGAAGAGGAAGAGGAAGAATGGAGTGGTAATATGTTAGACGTACGTTTCATGCCCTTAGGAGCATAAGGAAGCCAATATTTATGAGGCATCCTAGCCGTAGCTGCTAATAGAGGAGTGATAGTTGAAAGAAGGACGAAATTTTCGAAGAGAATGAGATAAAGCGAGGAAGATGTGAAGAAGATGATAAATGCACACAGAGTGAGAAAACGATGTAAATGTAGTTGATATCAGCCAATATTTACTCCAAAAACTTGTGCTTTGCATTTCCACGGACTCTTCGATACCATGCCTACATAGCACGTCACAAAGACCCCTGGTAATAATAAATTGATTCTTCACGCATGAACCATACTAAGACATGCCACGGAACCACATAACGACTATGTACGTGAGATATTAACTCTTTCCCTCTCGATCATGAATTCCAGGTTCAAGGATCGTAGTCGACAACAGGAATTGTGGTATCGTCCAAACTGACAGTGCCTGGGGCGTTAATGCCTGAATACTTGTTAAGCCATCCAAGAACCTGTTGGTGCCAGACAAGACTGTTCTCCTTGCTGAGAACCCTATACAAATCCGTTGAGTCAGCTCCATCAATCATCCGAGAAAAAGCTTTTGAACTTACCAATGGTTTTCATCCGGGAAGTTCAGCAGTCGACTAGGGACGCCCCGTTCTTGCAAAACATTGAACAAGGCTAGACCTTCCGAGACAGGAAGACGGTAGTCCTTTGAGCTGTGGATAATGAGTTGCGGTGTATCGAATTGCAAGATGTGCTCAGGAGCAGATGGGTCCCAGCGGCGATAGTTGTCTCGGTTTGCCCAGAAAGTGCCGTTGAACTTAATAGAGTTAGTAAGATATAGTGGAAGCCGGGGCGCAGGTACGTACATCATGTTCGATGAACCATAATTCCTCAGTCGAAATCTTGGCGTCGGCGACGAATGTGCCGTCATGGCTAACCAGTGCCTTGAATTCACGACCGAGAGGGTTGCCTTGAATCCAATTGATCATGAAACCACCATAACTGGCACCGGCTGCCACTCCACGGTCTGTATCAATGAAGTCGAAGTTGTCACGGACATACTCCCAGCACTTGACCAAGTCATCGTAAGGGTAGCTACCTGTTGAATGTTAGGATCCGAAGAGGAAGGTTAATTCATGCGACATACCCCAGTTGTTTGTGATCATGTCCGTTAGCTTATCGCCAAATCCTGTGCTGCCAGTTGGGTTAGGCGCAACAACCACATATCCCTGATCAGCGAAGGCCTTGTAGTTCCAACGACTGCTCCAGGAATCGCCCCAAGCACCCTGGGGACCACCGTGGATGTAGAACAAAAGGGGATATGACTTTGACTTGTCAAAATTGGGAGGGTAAATGATCCAAGATTGAATCTAATTAGTTAGCATGATTCGATCCCAAAAGGTAAGAAGACTTACATCCGTCCAGTTGCCCTTGTAGTGGAACTCATCGACATCAGCGGGACTCAGACCCTTCAGACCGGGATCGACTGCATTGGCAGAAAAGAGAAGCTTGGTGATACCCTTGCCCGGCTTTGCGGTGTAAACCGTCCAGCTAGTCCAGATAGCGGTGCCGGATACCAAGACCTCGCCGTTGGGCAGGTTATAGTACGCACTCACGGAGCCACCATTGGTGAAATTCTTGGGTTTGAAGTCATCGCCAGCATTGGCGGGCAACAGGAACAGCCGTGTACGGGCATGGTCTTCAGTGTTTGCAAGCAGACTCTTTCCGTCAGCAGTCCATTTAACAGCACTTGGCGAGCGGTCCCAGTCCTTGGCCAGAGTTGGGATGGTCTCCTTGGAGTCAATGGTATAAACATAGAGAGTACGGCGGTCCGACTCGTATGCGACGTCTTTCATTTGCAGGTAGGCAATACGACGACCATCAGGAGAAAAGACAGGACTGCTGGAATCACCCTTTATATCCTGTGGTGTACCAGGACTGTCCGGGCCATTGATTGCGACGGCCTTCTTAGATCCGTCATGAGGCACGAGATAGATATAAGATGCAGTGTTGTTTGCACGCGGCAATTCAGGTGCCTTGCTCTTGAACGCGACCAATTTGCCGTTGGGCGAGATGTCATAGTCAGAAGCATCGCCGAAGGGAGGGCTGGGAGATTCGAGGTTCTTCACTCCTGCAACGAGGTTCTTGAGAGATCCATGAGATGAGTAGCGAGATGCCGCGCCTTGTCCGGCTCTCTTTACCTTCAAAGTTCCCGAGAAAACAGCATTGAATCTCGTCGTGAGCCAAGTGTCCCAGTGGCGGGTGTAGATGCTGTCATAGATACGAGCCGAGCTCAAAGGCGCCGTTGCGAGCTTCTCGTTGTAGGCAGTTCCATTGCCGTAGGACTCTCCATACACCAGGAAGTTAATATCTCCAGATTTAGTAATGGCTGTCTTGAGACCAGACAGCGGTGCCGGCAGTGAGGCTGCCTTGTAAGCGCTAAAAAAGTGTTAGCAACAATAAAGATATGAATTGACGCATAGAGACTCACGACTTCGTAAAATCCGAGGTATCCGACACCCAAACCTCGACACCTCCGGGGATGTCGGCGTTAGTGCCGTTGATATACAACAGACCCGAGTCTGTCGACCCCAGCCAAATCAACTCGGAGACATTGCTATCGTTGGTGAGTTGGGTGGCTTTCCCGGTCTCCAAGTCCAATAGACTCCACCACGACGAGGTGGTGTGTGTGTCAAAAGAGTACTGCGATGTAGAAAACAGCGCAACTTCCTATACTTCGTTAACAACATTGGCCGATAATGACGACAATAATCCAACTCACTCCAGATGGATTGGGAATGGCTTCACTCCGCCTCGGAGCAGTGATCAGCTGTCTACAAGGAAACAATCAGTAAGCAGAAAAAGACTGGAGTCGATAATCACTGACTGGGGAGTAAGTGCCGCTGCAGATCCCACTATAGACCCTAGGGCCATCCATTGAAATTCGCGCATGTCGGCAAAAAGATACGCGCACACGCAGCTAAAGATAATCCCACAGGAAACAAGCCGGGCAGCATGCAGGATGAAGCCGGTATAAAAGCTGGAGCTCGGCACGGGATTAGCAGGCATGGCAGAGGCGGCAGTTTCCCGTTAAAGGGGGGCATGTTACATTCCTCCGCTCTGCCAAGAGGAATATGCATGATGGACTTGTTATCGGCCATTTCCAAGACGCTAAAAAAGCAAGTTGCCAACAAAGAAAGAGTTGCTGCAGGGTCCGGCGGTAGTCCGCCTGCTTAGCTTGCAGCGCCAAGAGTCCTCCACGGGGGGTTCCGCTGATAAGCGGATGGTAACACCTGCGGTTAGTCAGATCAACAGGGGCATTGTTCGGCGAGTGTTCTAGAAAGGGATAGCCATAGAGTTAAGCTGGGAATTTGGTCAATTGTTCATACGTCAGAGGGTCTTTGGAATGGCTAACAGATCACACCACAGTAAGGCCTAATGATGCTTACGGTCCGAGCAATGGTGTGATGCTTGGAAATGCGACTACATATGAGACCCCAAGCATTGTTATAACCAATGAATGCATTAATCGCTATAGTACGTCTGACGGAATCACTTCAATACTCAAAGTCATCATCCACACCGCCCTTACTGGCGCTCTCCTTGGTGACCGCTTCTTGCTTGCGGTACATTTCCGCCACAGCACGGGTAGTGGTGGCTTCGTCCGGTTTTTTGTCATCGCGGGCTTTGATATACCGCGGGAAACGCAGAGAAACACCTTTGCCACCACCCGTTGTACCCTCGAACTCGTCGGCAGCGGCCTGGTAGCGGGGACTAAGCGTCAAATCGGCGGTCTTCACTTCCCATACTAGTCGCGGTTCGAACCAGACATCTGGCTGATCCTTGGGTACAGTCGAGTGAGTGTAGAAGGGCTTTGGGCGGTCGATCACCAACGGGCTAAGGGTCTTGTGGAGCTCTTCGAGCAGTGCCTCAGAGAATCCAGTACCGATGTTGCATATGGTTTCGTAGGTGTCCTTGTTAGGGTTGTAGGCAGCGAGAAGGAAAGCACCGAAGACGGAAGTACGTTTACCACGTCCGTAGTAAGCACCGAGTACGACAAGATCGAGAGAGTCACCGACGCCGGCAAGATAATCCTTCTTGACCTACGTAAAAGTTAGGAGTGATTCGGGATTTCAATATACCAAGAGCCGTACCTTGAGCCAGTTGCGACTCCGCTTGCTGGGCTCGTAGCCACTCTCATCTGTGTCTAGCATCTTCACCATGAGACCCTCACACGAGGCTTTCACACTGTCCTCAAGCATTTCCTGGATCTCATCGAGGACGTTCGTGTTGCCGTACTGGGCGAACTGGAACTCTCCCTCCACCGGCTGGAAGCATTCATGCATGAGTCGTCGACGTTCCCGGAGAGACTTCTTAACACATGGCTATAAAAATGTAAGCGAGAGCAACATGGGATGAAAATTGGGATTCTTACCTCTCCGTTAAAGAAGAGCAAATCAAACGCAAACACGCAAACCTTGACTGTAACTTCATCGGCCTTGACATCCTTGCGCTTGCGGGTCATCAGTTGCTGGAATGGAAGAACCTTTTTGTTGATTGTGTCCCATGCAACGGTCTCACAATCAAGCACAAAGCTCTTCACGTCGTCTTTGACCCAGGTGTCTAGCTTGGCTAGAACATCGGGATACTTCTTGGAAAGATCTTCGGAGTTGCGGGAAAAGATTGAGCATAGCCCCTTGCTGTCCTTTTGTAATGTATTCTTCGCATTAGGGTATTGGTGGATGGAGTCTGGCGACACGAAATGAATCTGGGCTCTCTCTCCATCGTACTTATACTCGCAGGTGAACTCTTTGCCCTCAAAGCGGTCGAGAACCTCAATGATGGATTTAGTGGGCTTGGCAAGCATGGGCTTGAGAGGAACGCCGGGTGAAAGTTTGCAGACTTCAGGTAGCTTGAAAAGACCGTGTTCAAGGATGGCGGGAATGATCACCTCGTAAGCAGGAAGCTCACTGTAGACAGACTTGAAGATGTTTTCTCCTGCAACCATCTTCTCTGTGGATGGGATTGCCTCGCCGTTTACTTCGGCTTCATGGGCCTGGACTGCCCGAGCAACAGCTACGAGCACCGTTTTTTCTGCAAGTCCCAGTCTCAATTTTCCTTCCAGGAAGCGAATAATGAATTTGGCTTCGCTGGCACCGCCCTTGTCCTTGGTGATGTCCACTCCTTTGCCTCCCTTGCCAGCAGTTGCGGCATCGGCTGCAGACAACAGTTTCTTGATACCCGAAATCTTCTTGTCTTGGGATCCATGGCCCTGGACCTGAGCGATTGCCAGTAATCCTTCATGGACACCACGGACAGTCAAAGGCTTGGGCTTGAACATAGTGGGTTGGTTTCCGCGACTCTTGGCAGCCACCAGTCCCAAGTCTCCGATTTCCCTTTGGTCGGCCTTGATGATAGCAAGACTGCGACCAGTGCTTTCACCAATGGCTTTCATGATCAATGACTCTCCAATACCCAGTTCAATTCCGGCATAATCAGCAGCCAATTTATTGATCATCAACTGGACGGTGGAAAGGAAATCCGCGGGGGTCAGACGAAGAACCTGTCGAAGGAACAGCGAACAATGGTCCGTAATCTCCAATCGCTTTCTGGTCATCTCGATTAGGGAGAAAGTGGTGCATAGCGCGGCATAGGGAACTGGCTCGCCGGCTTTCCAGTCCGGATATGGATCTTTTCCGCTGCCTTTCAATTTGGCTTGGAACTTCTCGATGGATTTCTTCTTGAGCTCGGGCTTGAGGTCCTCCTCCTCTTCACTTTCTGACAACTCTTCCTCCTTGTTAATCTCTGCAGATGCTTTCTCTGCAGATGTCACGTCGGCAGAGCTCTCTTGCTTTGTAGCGGGTTTTGGTGATTGTGATTCAGCCTTGGGTTTCGTGGCTTTGGGCTTTTTCGGGGACGGTGTCTGTTTCTTGGCAGCTGGTGAGGCAGTAGCTGAAGCTTTTCTGCGGCGTTTGGAGACAGGCTGTACATCTGAGCCGTCGCTTTCTTCTGCATCCGGACTTTTTTCCCGCTTCACTCCTTGCGCCAGGGCATCAGTGGGCGCTGCATCGGTGTCCACCTCCGCTTTAACATTATCTGTATCCTGCTTGGCATCTTCATCAGCAGCACCGCTGTTTGCCCGTTGTCTTTTGCCGCCAAAAGCTAACGTAGTTTGCTTTTTGGGGGCTTGATTTGCGTTGGCGTTCGAGCCAAAGAACCTCCTGGAATGAATCAAACCATTAGTAAACTGAACAGTAAAAGCAACCAAGATTTATCAGTAGGAAAGGACGCATGCGCCCATCCGTATTCTCTCGACGCACCCAATCGTCTGCTGTGAATTGCGAACATACCCCAATGTAGCTTGCTTCCCACTCTTGTTTTCAGCCATGGTTCGTGGTAGTGATGATTTTCCTGTATCCCAGTGGGTGGCTAGCGGACAGTGGAGGTTGGAAAAGGTCGAACGATGCACCAAGTGTGGTGTTATTGCGATTGAGAAAGCGGGAGCTCGTCCAATGCGACTGGGTTCGAAGCGCGAGAGTGATGGAGGCGCGATCTTAGAGATTCGCAAAACCTGCATAGACGTATCTCTCGCAGCCAAGCAGGCACAGACTATTCAATAAATAGACCGAGCAAGAGCCGCAATTGAGCCAGGCAACACTTAGGCAGCGCCGGAGTTCCCACGCGTTGCGACGCGCTAGCGGGAAGCTCACGTGCAGGGCCATTTTACCTGATTGGGACTAGCCAACCATAATTCTCAATCTGGTTAGCGTTGTATCCACACTTCCCAGTTACACCGTCTCATCATGCCGGCAAAACAAAGGCGGTATGTATATATCCCGCGTTATTTCCATCGCCATGATCCCAACTACCTTCTGTCTATCTGTGTTTGATGCTGCTCGACTGATGCTATCTTGCCAACCCATCTCAAGCTCGTCTCTTGAGTTTTCAAGGAAAGCTTCCATCAGCTACAATGGCGACGTCCACTCAAGCAGCCTTTAACCAGGTATGGTTCGATGCTTATGGAGCAGCTCCTCGTGCGTGGCACACAGCTGATCTTCAGATAGCTTCGGCAGCCATGCGTTGAGCTCAACAATGTTGTTCTCCAGTTCCGCGGAAACCACGCTTCCGCCGCGGACGTCAGTCGGGCCCTCGAACCGGTGTATACCTGTTTGAACACACTCGCGGAGGATGGTACGCTTGACAAGAGACTAGCTGAATACGTCTTCTTTCCACTATCCCAAATCTTCAACGAGACTCAAAGACTCTCCGCAAGATGTCTTGAGGTTGCGGTCAGCTCCCTGCGAATATTGGTATCTCATGGATGGGGCCACGATCTTACGCCCGATATGGGCAAGCAACTCATAATTCTGTTGACGTTAATTGTGGGAGGATCACCGAATAAAGCCAAAGCCCAGGCGCCGATTGTGCCCGAAGAATTGTGCATTGCTGGATTCGATTGTCTCGCTGCTATTTTCAAGGCTTTGAGAGGCGATGTTGCTCAACAGAAAATCTTTCATGAAATTGGCACGGCGACAGTCATCGATCAGACAGTTTACATCCTGCTTGAGGGCGTTGTCGATGAAAGGTCTGATGAAGTTTGCACGAAAGCTGCCCAAGCCCTTTACGATCTTTATGACCGTGTCACAGATCGGGTAGTCCTTGCCAGTATCATGCCACGAACTGTTTCGGCATTGGCTAAAGTTCTGAGGCCAACAACGCAAGTCCGGAGATCATACATGCTGCTTGAATTGTGTTTGAAAACACTTACCCGCCTCTTGAGAGCTGTTCTTAATGACGAAGTCGCCGCTGATGTCTCCCCGCCCCCGCTGGGAAGCGAGAAAATGGCTCTGGATGAATCGTGGTTGAAGGCTACAACAACACAAATCAAGTTGGCATTGGCCAATGTCATTCAAGTCCGTCGTCATCAGCGAATCGAAGTTCAGGACGCCCTCTTGGACCTCTGCATGATGGTGATTGAACAGTGTCAAACCACTTTGTCAGACTCTGTGCCTATTATGGTTGAAACTATCGTGGTTCTGGCATACAGAGAGGATGAAGAAAACAATAAGGCGTACCAGCACCTAACTCATCTTGCTACTACATATCCTGCCGTGCTGGATTCTCTCAAAGAATCATTGCACACATGGCTCACATCATTCGCTCGGATCATGCAAGGCAATGACGAGACAGCCAAACAGAGGGGACTACGTCAGATTTCAACCGTTTTCCAAGTGTTGTCTCAAGTCCAGTGTGGATCGAATTTGCTGACCACCGGATTGGCATCCGGTCTATGTGACAGTCTGAGTGGAGTCGTTAAAGAAAGTACCAACTCACTTCAACCCCTGAACACGGATGATGTCGTTCTATTGAGACCAAACGACCCATCTGTGATGTCTGGAGTGTTCCCGTCAGTTCTTCTGGAACACCAGAGTCAACAACAGACCCTGAAGGACCTACGCTCGATGATTAGCCGACTGAATCTAGCCGAATCTGGAATTGAAATCACTCGATCAATTGTGAGCCGGATTCAGAGCACCGGTGATCACGCCATTGCGCCGTTCTGGCTGGCAATGACATTCCTACGTGATAGCACTACAGTCACAGCCAGTTTCGATGATTTCATTTCTCTTGAAGCCGTGGAGCACACTTCCCCATCATCTTCACGTGGTAAAATGATTGAGGAGATGTACAACATTTCATTGAACATGCTGAACGAAGATAAAGTAGTCGGTGTTGAGGGTGACTGGCGTGCATCAGCACTTGCATTGGAGGCCGTGGCACTCCAAGCTCAACAACTTGGCGAAGCTTTCCGACCCGAGCTCATGGATGCGCTCTATCCGGTACTGCAACTGATGACAAGTCGGAACCCAGACCTTGAACGACATGCCATGATCTGCCTCAATATTTTAACCAGAGCTTGCAATTATGCGGACGCAAGCTCAATGGTCATCGCAAATGTAGACTACCTGGTGAACTCGGTGGCTTTGAAACTTAATATCTTTGCTGTGTCCCCATTTCCGGCGTCGGTTCTATGGATGATGGTGAGGCTTTGTGGTGCACCGTTGATTCCATATCTTGATGATCTGATTGACTCGATATTGCACCTTGTGGATCTGTATCACGGCTACCCCATCTTCACCCGGATGATGTTCAAAGTCCTGGGGGCAATCGTGGACGAAGGAATAAATGAGCCATCCATGCTTACGATCGATGAGGGCAAAGAACATGGTCCCCTAGGCAACCAAAAACCTCGCTATGAACATCTCTCAATCTCGACCATCGCAGCAGACATCGCCAACCGAAAGGCCAAACGCGATCAGCGCGCCAAGGATGAAGTGGTAGATGCCGACGGCAAAATCTCCCACCCCAAGAAGCCGTGGGCTGAAACATACGACAAACCCAAACCCGAGCCCTCAATCGAAGAACTACTCGACCAAGCTGAATCCGACGAGCCACTCCCACCACCAAAGGAGCCAGAAGACGCCGAGAAGCCACTTAGCAAAACACACGCTCTTCTCGTGCACATCGCCAAACAAATTCCATCACACCTAACCACACCCTCCCTTGACCTTCGTAAAGCCCTCCTCGAGATGCTGACCGACATGATCCCGGTCCTATCCCAGCACGAAACCAGTTTCCTGCCCTTAATAAACGACCTCTGGCCCACAGTTGCACAGCGAAGTGCTCCCAATGATCCAGCTGGAAGCATGGCCGAAGAGACAACACGCCGAGCGAAAGGGGCAAGGATCCCCGACACAGAGGAAAACATGGAAAAAGATATCTACGTCACTGAAGCAAGGGCCAAGGTAATCGGAGCAATGTGCAAAGGCGCCGGCGACTTCATGGCCTCGCGCGTCGAAGCCGACTTCCCAGGATGGAACGCCTGGTACGAAATGAAGTGGAAGACGATGGGTAATTGGGCCGAATATGGGCAGCCCCATAATTGGTCCCCTCGGCAGACCCCTGCTACTGTCCGGCTTGAGGGTTCTGCTACCGATATCGCTACTGGCGCTCGCATCACTTTTGGCATACCCTTCAACCCGCACCTCGCTATCGAGAAGGCATACCCCGGATCGAGGTACTTCTCGCATGACCATCGTCACTGGCGCTCTCTGATTGAGCTTTTCATGACTGTGCTTGAGAATGTCCGTCTTCCTTTGGAAATTGGAGATCGCATCTGTGAGCACTTCGCCGCGTGGATTGCGCTCTTTGTCGGGCCGTATTATTATTTCCACAAGATGAGGACTGAGACTACCGATTTCGCTCCGGGGGATGCTGTACTTCCTGTTGAGAGGGCCATCCGTGCGATGGAGGCGTGGAATTCGGATCTGACGTGGTTTCTGTTTACGAAGCACCTTGTGGAAGGGGATGAGGGGTTGAAGGAGCTTAAGGTTGATGAGGATACTATGAATGTGAGATTGGGAGGTGAGGGTGAGGATCAGGTTGTGCGTCGACTGGCGGCAATGTCGTTTTAATTTTTACTTTGAATGGTCCTACTGAGTGGAGTGACGGGGCTGTTTCGCCTGAAGTGTGGAACAATTCGACGTTCAGCTAGCGAAGGTGTTTTTGAGGGTTTTTTTTGACTTGTTGAGCATCTTGCATAGCGTGATGACATTGTTTGGTTTACATGTACAACTAGTCGACATTCGAAATTATTGATAATGAGAATATTCTTAGTCTACAAGCCTCCACTTAGACGTAGGAGGAACCAGGTAGTTGACTCAGGCCTGTAGATACGGTGGAAGGCCATACGTCCTCTCGCACCCCAGCCTTTATACAATGTACAACCAAATGAGCCCGAAGCACTCGAAAATGGGCAAAAAAGAGGTGTAAAACAGAGACGCCAAAGTAGGGTGAAAACAATGCACGAAACAGTATACCCGCTTCGAGGCTTTTGAGTAGAGACAGTCCGTTACACACTTATGGCCACTGTTGTAGTTTATGCAGTATGAGGACAGGATAGGACATGTGAAGGGCAGAGAGGCTCCGTTTGAACAGAAAGAGGCTCGGACAGCAAAGGTGATGCTTTACTTTTCCTCTCAGTGGTAGATCATATTCCATGGTCAATCAATCAATCAAACTTCTATTAACCTGTTGGAGCCTAACTAGTATCGTAATGGCTATGCAGGCGCTTCTATTCGGTTGAAGCAAGAACTCGTATCCGTACGCCTGATCATGCTCTAGTACACATATTCCATGGTGTGGTGCGGACATTTGTTAGTTTTACATGTACGAGCCAATCTACACATGAAAGTACTGAGAAAGAGATCAATTTGACAGCAATAGTCAATGAAGGAGTGGCGACTGGTTAAAACTAAATGATGAGAACCTAACCGGATAGTCCACGCAGATGAGCATATCCAAAGAATACAAATTCCAAAATTCAATCTTAGGGTGAACGCAATGATAGTTAACACGAAACGACGTACGAATCAACCATCTACTCGCTCTCCTCATCACTGTCCTCCTCGTCGCTCTCAGCACTCTCGAGCCACTCAATGAAGGGCTTAGCGGCCTTGTGGATCTTCTTGCTAGTCGCGATGTCGACGTACTTCTTGCTCGTCTTGGCGCCCCAGGCCTTGAGGGTCTCCTCAGACACGATGTCGTTCTGGTAGTAACCCAGCAGGATAGCGGGGATCTGAGCAACGAGGGCAGGGTGGTCCTGGCCAACGAAGCGCTCGGTACCACCGAGGAAGGCCTTCTCGTGACGCTCGGAGCTGATCATCTTCTTGAGAAGACCGGCACGGCCCTCGACCTGCTTGGCGATCTTCTCGTCGAAGATGCTCTGGGCAAGAACGGCACAGGTCTTGTGCTTGCTCTCGATGCCGAATTCTTTGGCCTTCAAGTAGATCTCGACGTCGGTGACGTTGGTCACGCCGCCCTTCTCGGCAGCAGTCTCGACGATCCAGCTGCCCAGCTGCTCGTAGGAGGAGGGGCCATCGGCACCCTCGTCGTCAACGTCCTCGATGACAAGGGCACGCTTCAGGTCCGAGGGGAGTTCCTTGGCGCGAGCCTTCACGGCCTCCTCGGAAACGTCAACAGCCCACTCATCATCCTTAATCTCGACCTCGGCCTCAATAGCCTGAGCCTGGCGGGTCATCTCATCATCGCTACCAGCCTCAGGGGCCTCGTCGACATCGTCACCATTCTCGGAGTTGTTGCTATCACCAGGGCTGGTTTCCTGCTCGCCGTTGGCAGACCTCTCCTTCTGGCGCTCACGGCGGGTCTTCTTCTTGTCCTTCTTGCCGCCCTTGGGGTTGTTACGGACAATGAAGGTGCTCAGCTTCAGGCGCGGGTCGACATCGGAGCGCTGACCACAGGCCTTGCAGTCCAGAGTGATCTTCTCATCCTTGATGGAGACATCGGTTTCGGGGTTCTTGCACTTCTTGCAGAGAACGAACTTGGAGATGAACCCATCAAGGTAGTCCTGAAGCTTGGGGGCATCGTGGGAACCGTTGATGATCCAGCGTTCGTCGGTGGGCTTGGCGTTAGCCTGAGCACCGAGTTCGAAACCGAAGTACTTGATGAGGTAGGCAGGAGGACGGCTGAGGGACTTGGCGACGGAGTCCAGGTTGACGACAACGGTCTTAATACCGTTGCCCTTGCCTTCGACCTTGGCCTGGAGCTTCTCCATCTTGTAGCGATAGAAGGGATCGGTGACATCCCGGCGAATGTTGACAGTGGCCATGATGACGGTTTAGTTGAGCGATTGGTTCACGAGAGAACGAGGGGCTTGCGAAGAAGGAAGCGAAGAGATCTTGATTTGGAATTTTGTTGATGAAACGACATGCGTGTCGATTTTGTTGTCTTGATTGTGATGTCTTTGGAAGAGGTCACAATGTTGGTTCAACCACAAGATCTGAGGTGTATGCTGCAAGGTTTCGACGCGCGAAACGATTGCAGCTTGGGCGGCAGGTAATGTTCGAAATTTTGGACGGAGGACGAATACATAGACAAGTTCGCAGACGACTTCTCAATGTGAGGCTTTCTGAGAACAGCTGAAGTTCTTTGGGGAATCCAAGTCCGAGGCCGGAGACCCGTTGGTGTGTGGCGGAAATTGATGTTGGCGATGCCTAACCAATAATAAGTGTAGAGCGTAGAACTAGACGTTCACGCGAAAGAAATGCAGGCTTCGTTGTTCAAAGCCTTCAGAGATGGATGGGTGGAAGAGAAAAGGTGGGAAACAAAAAGGATTTTAAACTGACAAATAAGGGTTATGTCAGCCGGCACGTGCCGGGCAAAAGTCGGAGTTTGGACGATATATGCCGTTGACTCCGAAGTCGTTTGATTGTTTCATTTGCAGTTTGTATATACGGTAGTGAGTAGAATAAAGATTAAGAATGGCCATTGTCATGCACCTTCGTAGAGGTTACCTCGACGCAGTCCAAACCTTACAGTTGGACCCCACCGCGGGCACACAACCGGCGGCAATCTTCCTCTTGCAATGAATAGGGCCAGAAGTGTTGTACAAAGTATAGTCTGTCTCAAGTTGCCTTTTTAGTTCTTCTCAAGTCCCACATTCCTCCACGTCTGTCCGGACATCATGGTCGACCTCTCGCTATACCTAGTCACAGACTCCACCCCGGCCATCCTCAAGGGCCGGGACCTGTGTACAGTTGTGGACCAGGCTCTCCAAGGAGGTCAGTTTTCCCCAATACCTTCGGCCAGTTACTCGACTAATCCCCCACAGGCGTGACGGTGGTGCAATACCGGGACAAATCCAACGACACCGGTGTCATGGTGGAGACTGCCCGGAAACTTCACCAGATCACCAAAAAGTACAATGTACCGCTTTTGATTAATGACCGAGTCGATGTCGCTCTCGCTATTGGGGCGGAGGGTGTGCACATCGGTCAAGATGATTTGAGTCAGTCGCCACAGTTTCGTTTCAGATGCATATATTGACGGGATATCCGCAGAATACGAGGAGGCGCGGAGACTTCTCCCCGAGAATGCTATCATTGGAATCAGTACCTCTACGGTTGAGGAGGCCAAGAAGGCCATTGCAGATGGTGCCGACTACCTCGGAATCGGTACTATGTTTGCCACTCCAACGTACGTCTCTCGACCCGAATTTGGGCTAGATGGTCACTGACAACTCGCAGTAAAACCAATACAAAGTCAGTCATTGGAACTGCGGGCACTCAGGCTATCCTGGATGCCATCAGCGATTCTCCTGTGGGCACTGTCTCGATTGGCGGCATCAACCACTCCAATGTACAGAGAGTCATCTATCAGTCCCAGTCACCCAAAAAAGCACTGGATGGAGTAGCCATCGTAAGCGCCATCATGGCGGCCGATGACCCCACAGCATCTGCCAAGCACTTCGCCGAACTCATCAAGAACCCTCCCCGGTTTGCCGTGGCGTCCACTGCCCCTCGTCCGAACGAAGTCGAGGCCCTGTTGACCGAAGTGCCTCAAGTAGTCCGCAAGATGGTTGAAGTACACCCTCTAGTGCACAGCATGATCAACATTGTGGTGGCTAACTTCGTGGCTAACGTTGTTCTCTCCATGTAAGCGCCCCTACTAACTTGAAACTATGTCTCTTAGTGCTGATACTATCCAGTGGTGCGTCCCCAATCATGGCCCCATACGGCGATGAAGCCACAGACCTGTGCAACCTTGACGGTGCACTCCTGATCAACATGGGTACTCTGACTAGCGAGAGTGTCTCCAACTACCTCAAAGCCATCAAGGCATACAATGAGCGTGGCAACCCAGTTATCTACGACCCCGTCGGCGCGGCTGCCACCCACATTCGCCGCAATGCGGTTTCCCAGCTTATGGCTGGTGGCTACTTTGATTTGATCAAGGGTAATGAGGGAGAGATTCGTCAGGTTTGGGGTAGCAGTGCTGTCCAGCAGCGTGGTGTCGACAGCGGGCCAAGCACTCTAGACGGCAAGCAGAAGGCTACCCTAGCTCGGGACCTTGCTCGGAGAGAGCGTAAGTCAAGTCCACGGCCATTGACTCCAATTACTATCTTCTAACCTACCACAGGAAACGTCGTCCTCATGACCGGAGCCACTGACTACCTCAGCGACGGCGAGCGAGTGATTGCCGTCGAAAACGGTCACCCATACCTAGGCCAAGTGACAGGAGTATGTATCTCATCCCACCATTCTTCAATAACAACTAACGTTGAATGTCCAGACTGGTTGCGCCATCGGCACGATCTCCGGCTGCTTCTTGACTGCCCACCGGTCGGACAGACTTCTCGCCGTGCTATCCGGCATTCTCATGTACGAGATCGCGGCTGAGAATGCCGCAGCAAGTGAGCATGTCCGTGGTCCTGGTAGCTTTGTGCCCGCCTTCCTCGACGAGCTCTACGCTATCCGCACTGCTGTGGCGAAGGGCGATGATAGCTGGTTTGTTGGCCGGGCTAAGGTGCAGGAGGTTAAGTTGTAGATATAGATAGCAAGATCTAGATGATGTATCAAAAGTTGATTTTCTATTTTCACTGCCAATGCTTCACTTGTTGTATATCACGGGGACTTCCCCTCGGCTCCCCGCATCTCCGATTCTCCGATTCTCCGATTCCCCGCGGCGACCACCGACGTCCCTCTCTCCCTTACGTCTATCTCTACTTCTATCTCTACTTCTCCTTTTTCGCGCTTCTTCCTCCAAATACTCCCATAATACCGCCAAAATGGCTACCATCTCGCGCGCATCGCGCATTCGTGAGTATCCCTACTCTAACCTCCGATATACAACTAACACAATCCCAGGCAACCCCGCACTATTGTACGCCCACCCCAGTTAGCCAAAAATAACCCAATAACACCACTAACAACCAATTCAAAACAACAGCATCTGCGACATCCAAGAGAAATTCCGCGGAATCTACGAGTTCCCCAAACTGTACGAATCTACCCAACACCACCCCACCCCCAATATCCAAGTCCACCATCTAACCAAGCAACCCCAAACCAGCATCTCAACAACACAAAAAATGCTCAAAGCAGCCTCAACCCTCCAAATCCCAGTCTACATCACAACCCAAAACAGAGCCAAACTTGGCACCACAGTCGTAGAGCTCCAAGAGCACCTAAACGGCCCACACATTCGCGCAGACGTGGACAAAACACTCTTCTCAATGATAACACCGGAAATCTCAAACCTACTCCCACAGCCTGGATCTGGATCCCCACCACTGGATGTGATAATCGTCGGGATCGAGACTCATATCTGTGTGACGCAGACGACGCTTGATTTGTTGGAAAGGGGGCATCGGGTTTATATTCTTGTTGATGGCGTTAGTAGTATGAATGCCGAGGAGCGAGGGATTGCATTGGCGCGGTTGAGGGATGCGGGTGCTATTGTTTCTAGTAGTGAGAGTGTTCTTTTTGAGATTATTGGGGATGCTGGACATGAGGGATTTAGGGCTGTTAGCGGGTTGGTCAAGGAGAGTAAGGAGGAGACTAAGGGGGCTTTGGGGGCTTTTTCGAAGATTTAGTTAGAGAGTGGTCGGCCGGGGATTTGTTACGGGACGTTGATAGTAAGAGAGAAGGGAGACGATGGTTTGGCATGGACACTGTAGATTGATTTGTTTTGGTTTTGGGGTTTTTAGTCTTATTGAATTCTGCACGCCATGCCTTGTTCTCGAATTTGACGCACAGTGCTGAAGCTGCCATTTTGGAGACAATGTATTCTATCCCCTGTAAAAGCCCCAGGGCCTGTTCCTGTCCTGTCCATTTCTGTTGCTGTTGCTGCTCCCAAATCATGCATCCTGGGAAATGTGTTTATTACTCTGTCGTGAGATCAAGTCGTGAAACCGGGATCATTCAAGATCCAAGTGTGACCCCAAAGGCTAATCGAATCCTAGTTTGTTTCATCTAGGCTGGGCCGCGCTGGGTGGGGTTGAGCCATCCAAACGCCGAGGCACCCCCAACTGGGTTGAGGGCATCTTTGTCGGAGGAGGTAGACTGGCTGGCGACGTGGGAATGTGGCTTTTCGGCAATTTCGCCTGTGGTGCTGCTAGGAGCGGAGGGGTGTGCGCGGACGTTGGATTTGACGGTTCGGAAGACTTTCATCTCGCGCTTATCAGGCACCTTGGCTGTCTTCTTTGTCTCGCGTCTCCAGGAAGTCCAGGGGGGCATGTTATCGGTCCTGGGGGCTGCGGGAGTCTGGGTGTTGGCTGCAGTCCCGCGTGCTCCGGCCTGAGTGGACTCGTCGCCGTGTTCACCCTGGATCCGTGGCTTCTGAGCATCGCCATCTTCGCTGACTGGTGGTCTAGCAGAGAAAGGAGTGGAGGCTGGGATTTGGGGAAGGCCAGGAGGAGGGCGAATGACACCGGGAGCAGCATGTCCGTTAGTCTGGCTTCCTAGCTGATCCTGGGTGCAGGTACTGGGAGAAGTGCACAGAGTTTTGAAGACGGAGTCCTTCTCGGGACGCACGAGGGGGACAGAAACGCGGTTGCGGTCATCATCCACCATAATCAACTTGTCAAGTGAAAACCGGATATCGGCATTGTGGGCGCGCAACACGTCACTTCCAATGATGATCTGAATGGTGTCGTCGATGGGTTCAACCTGTCGAACGACGAAACGGACAGTCACAGCAGGGACTTGGTGAATAGGAGTACCGGGGCGCGAGGAAGCTTGATGGATGAGGGCCTCGGGGAGGTAAACCGGGAGCTTGATTAACGAGACATCATCCTCGTGACTGATCATATCCTCCATCCCAAGGTTGCGGATCAATGCAAAGCTCAAGTATGAGACGTAAGAGCCAGAGCAAACTGCGGCGTAAAGCAAAGAGGCATTGGTGAAGTCGTCACTTATCCAGCAGCGAATGATAGAAGGTACAGGACCAAGCAAGAAGAGTCCAGGCGGGGGGATCAACGGGGAATCGAGTGAGGTAAACCCGCCCAGACGGCCAGTGTTCAGACGCAGGCTGTTGGTCCGCGCAGAATGGTGAGAGTGACCACCGTCGGACTGGTGAGAAGCTGTCCGCTCGAGAAGTGGATGGCTGCTTAGACCACTGCCAGTCCGGGGAGGCAATTCATTGCTGGAGCGATTGGCCTGGCCATACCCGTGGATGGCGCTCTCATCAAAGCGAACGCTGTTAGCACGAGAGGTGCCCCGCCGAGGCTCCTCCTCCACGTCGAAGGCCACCGCCGAGGTAGGCATGGCGGAGTGGTGTGCTTGGTCAAACCCTTTGAATGCGTCGGGGGGAGAGTGAAAGGCAGAGTCTGCAGAGGAGGATTGGTAAGTGGTGGACTGGAGTGAGCCTTGAATGGGTTGTTACCTGGAGCTGCTGTGCCTACCGAGCTCGGAAAAGGCGACGTCGGACCCCAGGGGCTTCTCATACGTGCATCCTCGTCTCGCCGGCGCTCCAACTGAGCGAGTCGTTCGCCTTGCGCAATATGAGAGATTTGAAGGTCCTTTAGCTCTTCAAAGACGCGCCAAATATCGTCCCGGGAGGCGAAAGGATACTGGGCATCCATCGCCGGTAGGGTGATGAGAAGAAGAAGTCCGGAGGAGGAAAGGTTATCGGGGTCGTATCTGAGAATATCAAAGCACGTGTCTTCAATTCAAGTCTGGCAATTTCGATTCAACTCCTACTATCCTCTCTCCTCCCTCCTGCAACTAGTTGTGAGACGGCCCACCGGCCGTCCACCCTGTCTGTGAAGAACAGACCTTGGAACCGATCAAGTGATGTGACCTTGTAAGTGTCGATGAGATAGTACCGATGGGAGAGCTTAACGATGCCGGAAGACAGTCTCGGGAGGTTCGTCAACAGTCGAGACTTGAAGGATACGGGGTAACGTAGGGAAGGAACGCGTGTGCCAGTCACGGGATCAGACGCGTACAGGCGAAGAGATTGAGGTCAACGCGTGTTTCAACGTCAAGATCTATGTCGAAGCAAGATGGAAGTTGTAGTTGGAGTGCAAATAGAGAAGTGACGACCAAAGTTGGAGAGGAACGTGGACTGCGGAGAGGGGCTAGACCGCTTACTCCACTAACGGCTGTATACTTCTACTTCATAGTTCATAACGTTACTTCTATTTCACTTAAATCCAACAAGCTACGTATTCACTTAATACTTGATCTCTAGAATTAACAAATTCACAATCTACTTCCCCCAATTGTCTTATTTCGGTGCATCAACCCACGACGGGAACACCATCGGAAGGTTATCCGGCAACTGATCTGGCCAATTAGCCTCAATCGCCTTCATGACTTCATCATAAACAATACGATAACCAGCAGGAGTCAAATGCAATCCTATCCAAGTTAGCACGAGCAAAAACCACTCGGAATATATCTCCACGCACCATCGGTAAGAAGACCCGAAAGTATTTCAGAATTCGGAGCATCGCGAGACCCAACCAAAGACTGTCCCTCTTTCCACCCGGTAGTTTTCATAAATGCTGTCCAAAGATCCGCCACAGGGACATTGAGTAAAGCACCAACTTCCCGCGCAGCGTCAGCATACTGCCTGGTCCCACTAGCCGTTCTGCTCGGGTGCGGAGTCTCTTTTGCAGCATCAAAGCTCTCCAGCTGATACTCATTGATGGGCGGCGGGCTGATCAAGATGATGCGCGGGTTCTGTGCGCGGGTTGCTGGGTGCTGGATGATAGTTTTCAGATTCTCCTTGTATGTCTCCACAGGCACATGCTGGCTGTGGCCTGGGACACATGCATCGTTGGCGCCGAAGAAGACGGTCTATCCGATTGTTCAATTGGTAAGTTGGGGTTGGGATTGTGAATAGGACTGATCCTGGGTGCTCACCATGAAGCGCACGGTGGCTGTTTCTGGGCTGGGGAAGAATCTGTCAAAAACTTTGATGGCATGTGCGGTGGTATATCCGCTGTTGGACTTTTTAGTATTGGATTCAGTCTGGGCTGGTGTTGTATGTTGGAGTATCTTACGCGAGACCACGGTTGACCACGTCTAGTCTCCGACTGTAGGCTGATTGTTTATGAGCATTGCACTGGGTAATATGGCTGTATGGGACTCACATTCTTGGAGTGCGGCGTGAAAAGCGAAGCCTAGTTCTTGGTTGCAGGCCATCTGCGTGATGGAGTCTCCGAAGAGGATGAACTGGTCATATGGCTTGAACATATTGTCCTGAGTTTCTGAACCCATATTGAAAATAATGTCAGGCTGAAAAGGTAGAAGTTGGGAGGATACGTGTATGGGAGACAAGGCTTATAAAGCGACAAGATCCGGAAGTGGGGGATTTGCTCCGTGGACGAAAGGGAAATCAGTGGAGCTTCGTTTGCAGACAACATCGCAACATTTGATCAGGTCGATATCTATATATTCTATCTTTCATAGTTCATCTGAAATTTATCCACCAATTGTTTATTCCGGCAATTTGTTTGTATAAGTTAGGCCCAATTTCCACCCCGCACAACACCCAACATGCACCAGAACTAAGATATGAGCAGCTGAGTATTTCACCAAAATATATTCTTGGGACATGAATGACTAACTGTATATATGAGACTATCGAAACAAGCCTACTACCAACAACTGCTTCATCGATCAACACAGCAAGTAGAAGTAATCCCTGTCGGAATATGCCGAAGAACGATGCATTAATGTTAAAGAGAATCGAAAGCTTAACCAAGGAGCTTTTCCACCTGTCCCGGGCTAGACCTGACATCTATCTCGGGGTATACGAAGACCCGAAACAGCACCACTACTCTCCGGCATGAATGATTTCCCCGGATCATATAGACGCTGGTCCCTCACACAGTGGCATCAGCTTTATGAAGCATGCCAAGAGATCAGCATTGAACGGCGATCGGATTGGTGCATTGAGGATCCGTTTCGGCCGGGCATGCCCCAAGGTAGCAAGATAATACCGAGATCCCGAGATTGTTAGCATAGTCCAGTGACCATGAGTGCTTAGTGCTATAATAGTCGCCAAGTCGAGAGTCGAGTCCAGATGACAGTGACTAAGACATGGGGTATACACCCGAGCCCACCTGGGCATGTTGCTAAATATTACATTGGCCATGTGTCTATGCATGGACCCTGAGCCCCAAGCCCCGGGTGAACAAGGTTGCCGGACATGACATGGCTGCATCTCATCAAATCATGGCAATACATTCCATATCCTTGACTCAGAGCTCTGAATTCGCCGCTCAAGGCGCTTTGTTTTGGGGGATGATCGGCGGTAAACGCGGGGAGAGACGGAATGGCCTTGATATCTCCAATCGAGGGATCAAATCATGAGTACACGAGGGACAATGAATGTAGAATATATTAAAGATGTGCAGTGTGTATACAGTGGCTGTGGGTCAGACTGCGCTTGCACCTGACGCGTCCACTATTGCGTCGATCACCTGTGTGATGTTCAAAGGGGTCCGCTTTCCCTCATCTCCTCTAGCTTTTCCTATCTTCCTATCTCTCTTTTCTTTTCTTTTCTTTTCTTTTCTTTTCTTTTCACCGGGCTCAGAGACACAGAAGAGAGGAGGATATGCATTTCAGTCAGTCAAGCCCCTAACCTTGCTCGCGTGAGCTCCGTTCTACCGCATACACACCTTACTTGTGGAACGGAACCGCCATAGTCCAACTGCAGCCAAAACTGACAAGTGCCAGCCCCACTGCCCATAACTGAAGCATAAAGGCTTCACGACATGCCTCGGTCCCTACCCAAAGTCAGCTCTGCCTCGCGCGAGCAAGAGGACTCCGAAAACACACATACCGCTCGAACAGCACCGCCGTCCCCGACGGCCTACAGACGATCCCAAAGCTACCTCGCCGAGCCGCATACAGGCTACCAATCTCTCGATGCCCCACTGGAGGTCACAGAAACTACAAGCCTCCTAGGTGCTAGCCAGGGGTCGGTCAGACGAGCTCCGCGGCGATCGTACACCAGCACTTCCGGGGCGTCGGTCTTGGGGACGGAATCATTGCGGCACCTTCTGGCAGCTGGGAGCTTACGTCGAACACGGAATCACAGCCGGGCCAACTCCGTCGGCAAGCGGTTGAGTCGTCGAGGGAGTATTGATGACGAGAGCAGACCGGCTAGTCTTCCTGCGTCCACCAAGGATAACCTCACTGCCTCGTCGTTTCTGGATGAGCGTACCTGGTATGACCAGTTTACTTCTACCGACTGGGTGCACGACAGTATTGCCGATGGAGCCCGTCTTCGCCTACTCCGTCAACGGAAAGACATCCGCGGCCGACTTCTGGCAGCTTTTGATGGTGCGCAAGGATGGATCTTGGTTGCTCTGATTGGTTGCATTACAGCTGCCATCGCCTACTTCGTCGACATTACCGAGGGTGCGCTCTTTGATTTGAAGGAAGGCTTCTGCACAACCCGCTTATTTAGGGGTCGACGGGGCTGCTGCGATGGTTTGGCTATCTGTGATGGATGGCGGTCCTGGTCGAGCATCTTCCGGCCATCCAACACCGACAACATATGGATTGACTTCTTCATGTTTGTAGTATGGGTTGTGGCTTTGGCTCTCATTTCATGCGCTTTGACTTTGCTTACAAAGACCGTTGTTCCTTCTTCTATTTCTCTTGCTACGCTTGATGAGAACTTGGGGGCCGACTCCCGCGGTACGAAATCTGGAAATGGAGTCGAAGCTTTGGCATCACCCCTCTCAGAGGCAGAGACCAGTCCGCCGCCGCATGGGAGCTTTCCGAATTACCCACCGCGTCCGGCTATGATTTATTATTCTGCTGCTGGCAGTGGAGTTGCCGAAGTTAAGGTCATAAACAGTGGCTTTGTTCTTCATGGATATATGGGATTGAAGACATTGGTCGTCAAGACCATTGGTCTGATCTTCAGTGTTTCATCTGGTTTGAGTCTAGGCAAGGAAGGTCCATACGTTCACATTGCCACGTGTGTTGGTAACATCTGCTGTCGCCTGTTCGCCAAATACAACCAGAATGATGGTAAGCGACGCGAGGTCTTGAGTGCCAGTGCCGCTAGTGGAGTTGCTGTCGCTTTTGGTGCTCCCATTGGTGGCGTTCTGTTCAGTTTGGAAGAAGTCAGCTACTACTTCCCACCAAAGACCCTCTTCCGGACCTTCTTCTGCTGCATTGCGGCAACGCTATCTCTCAAGTTCCTAAACCCCTATGGAACTGGCAAGGTCGTACTCTTCGAGGTCCGGTACTTGTCTGACTGGCAGATCTTCGAGATCTTCGTCTTCATCCTCCTCGGTGTAATGGGAGGCGCAGCTGGTGCCCTTTTCATCAAAGCCTCGAGCTTGTGGGCACGATCATTCCGACGTATCCCAGCCATCAAGCGGTGGCCAATGCTGGAAGTCTTCCTGGTTGCGCTGATAACAGGTCTCGTCAGCTTCTGGAACCGATACACCAAGCTTCCTGTGACCGAGTTACTATTCGAGTTAGCGAGTCCATGCGAATCAGACGTAGAGAGCACCGGGCTTTGTCCCCGCGAAGAAGGCATTCTCGAAATCGTCCAGTATCTCATGGTGGCATTCGTTATCAAAAGTGTTCTGACTATCATCACGTTCGGCATCAAGGTTCCTGCAGGCATTTACGTCCCGTCCATGGTGGTCGGTGGCCTAATGGGACGAATCGTCGGGCACTTGATTCAATACTGGGCTCTTATGCATCCCACCTTCTTCTTATTCGACTCTTGTCCTGCTGTCGCTGGGATCGAGTCCTGCGTGACGCCAGGCGTCTACGCCCTGATTGCCGCAGGTGCAACTATGTGCGGTGTGACACGGTTATCAGTTACGCTTGCTGTCATCCTCTTTGAGCTGACGGGAAGTCTCAACCATGTTCTTCCTTTCTCTCTGGCAGTTCTCTGTGCCAAGTGGACGGCAGATGCTATTGAACCTCGCAGCATTTATGTAAGTTGTTACCTTCGAACCTCAATCTCATGCTCGTACTGACCAAACAGGACCTCTTGACTGATATGAACTCCTACCCATTCCTCGACAGCAAGCTCCAACCAACAACCGATGCCGAGCTGGGAGATATTGTCCGACCAGTGCGGAAGAACCGAGTCATTGATATCTCCGAATCACCATTCCTATCCGCCCCACAGCTCCGTTCAAAGCTGGAGCATCTACTCATGGCCGGTGAACTGGATAGCGGACTCCCGATCTTGCGTGACGGTGTCCTTACAGGCCTGATCCCGGCACCTGATCTCGAGTATGCACTAGATACCCTTGGCGACGAAGAAGACAATACAATCTGTCTGATGGCCCTGGATGCATCGACGGCTCTCTACGATAGTGAGAACGAGGATGCTGATCAGGTTGATTTCACTCGATATATTGACCCAGTAAGTTTGGAAACCCTCTGACCTCAATGTTATTTCTAACAAGCTACAATCTAGGCTCCAATCGCTCTCGATGTCCATTCTCCCATTGATTTGGTCTACCAATGCTTTGCCAAGCTTGGTCTCCGATATCTATGCGTTACGCAGGGCGGCAAATATGCTGGCCTAGTGCACAAGAAGGCATTTGTCAAATTCATGAAGGAAAATAGTGACTAATCCTTTCTATTCATCTTATCTACCATCGGTGGCTTCCTTTTTTTTGCATTCATGGGCGTTTTCTTTTCGAGGCATTCTGATTTCACTCAATTTGCATAGCCTTGTATATCCTCTCATTTCATGTCTATATTCTGCGCGTTTGATTCTGCATTGTCTCTCATTACCATGTGCATAGTACTGTTGTATGTAGGTCTGACTGAAGACCACATCACCATCGAACATATCATATCGCACGTCGAATACATTCTTATGATCACAAAGCCTAAGTCAGAGCTAGATACCTAGACCTTCTCAAACCCAACCATCTGGACCTCAACATCCCCCTCGCTCTTCCACAACCCATCAACCTCCTCCCCAACCCACTCAGAAACCTCCGCAGAATTAGCAGTCCGCCACCCATTCCCCCCATCAAGCCTATCAAGCGGGAAAAACGTATCACACTCAAAAGACCCAACAGACCCATCAACACCCTTCCGCACAACATTCGTCATAACAACCCTCACAGGCCTCCCCTTCAACGCAGACCCTGCCTGCAATCCAATCGCAGCATTATAAATCTCCGCACCCCCAATGACAAAAACCTTCCCCAGCACCCCCTTCTCCCCATACTCCGATTCAAGCCTCTCCAACGCTTGTTCCAGACTAGGCACGACAATAGCATCCGTCATCGGCTCAACCGCCTTCTCCCCGTCGTCCTTCTTCACAGCCTCAGCAGCCTTAGCAGCAATCCTCTCCCTCCTCCCCACCAACTCCCTCATAACCCCCTCTTTAACAGATCCACTCGTATCACGTGTAACAACAACACTAATCCGCTTCGCAAGCGGGCGCAATGAGGCAGGGACGGAATCGTATGTCTTGCGACCCATGATGATGGCGTTTGTTTTGCCCGGGTTGGGCGGGCGTGAGGTCACGCGCGCGAAGAATGACATGTCTGTTTTTATGCGCGGCCATGGCAGGTTTCCCTTGAGCCCGATTCCTAGGCGCGTTGTTGTTTCTTCTGTTGCGTGTCGGATTGGGATTGGGGTTGTTGCCACTATTAAGGTTAGGGGGTTTGGGTGTGGCATTTTTTGGATTGGATGTATGGTTTTGGTTGGTGTGTGAGAGTGGGAATTGGAGGTTGTCTTCGCGTGTTGGAGGTTGTGAAGTGGTGGGGAGTGAGAGTCGCGTTCGGGGAGAAATTGTTTATCGGGCTTATCGCCCCGCATGTAGACTTGCGCTTTGGGCAATGGTTATATGGCTATAGGACGAGAAATATAGGGGAAATTGGTTGCTGTAGTATAATTCATACCTATATCTTGGAACACTACATGTACAAACAGAACTGTCTGCTCCAATGAGAAAAATCAAGCAGATTGATCAAGCGGTATCAATAACCAAAACCCCACACCAACGAAACGCCAGACGCGACATACAAAGTAAGATATCTAGTAGAAATCAAACGCCAGAGAGCTTCAAGTAGCCCATGCAAATTTGTACAGATACAAGTCCATCACTTCTCCACAGACGGCATCAACAATCCACCCTCAATAGCCTTCTGCACAGCCTGCGCATCCTGCTCCAGCTTCTCCCTCCGCTCGACGTCGCGCTCGTCTTCGCCCAGTGTATCCAGTTTTCCGAAGAGCCAGGTCTCTTTCATTGTTCGTGTTAGGCCGAGGAGATCTTCTGCGGCGCGAATCTAATGGTGGGAAATTAGCTTCATCCATGTTGGGCCGATGTCAAGACATGGTTAATTCTTCAGGATGTAGATTTGAAGGGACAGTGAGGCGTTTCTGGTGTATTGCATTGACTCACCAGTGCAGTTGATTCCACGTCTAGCTGATATGTTTCTACTGCTGTAGAGGTGTAACTTGGATTGTCGACCTGGTATGGACTGTCAGTATATTGCTACCGAGTAATAATAGAGTCATGAGAGGCAATGCTCTCGAACTCACAGTCGCTGTGGCCATGATATTCTCGAACCGCTGCAGTAGTTGCGAGATATCGGTGTTGATGCGATCTGCCGGGTATCTGGTGTTAGCGGGTAACGAGCAAAGCGCTGAGGGCTTTTGGGCTGTAAAAGCGCCTGGAACCCAATAGACGTGAGACTCACTATGCAGCGCCTTGGCTGTAGGTTGGGATTCCATTGTTGGTTTGTTGGTTTGGAGTCTGTCGAGAATTGATATCAGGTTAGTCTTGTCGATAAGGTTTAAGGCGGTGAGAGTGGAAGTATATCGGCAGCCGAGGTTCGAATGTTCAATTTATTTGGGTAAACTAAATGTCCAATAGAATGAGATTAACTAGGTAGCTGATTAAAGCTTGTCATTTTCAGAGAATATCCAAAAAAAAAAAAAAAAAAGGGAAAAAATAGAGAAGCGGCGCCAGCTGCTGATGCCTTAAGTTTCAAAGAATGGAGGCATATACCGCTGTATCTGCCATCCGTAGTGTGGAGGGAGATCGTTCGCGCGTATAGTTTCATTGGTGGGACTCGATTAGGGGTCTAGTTTGGTTCAGGTTGGTCCTTTCTTTCTATGGCTATTTTATAGTATATCTGGTTGTATGGCAATGGGCGGCATTAAAAGGTAGCATTCATTTGCTAAAGTGGTATTCCAAGTAATCCCCCAAGGTTATCTAACGCACGTACTTGCCCTATAATATTGTTAGAAGATGTAGAAGGAAGTTGGCAGGTCTAATGCATACCATGAAGCGCTTGTGGAAATCGGAACGAAGGAGGTCCTAAAAGAACAATTAGCTTGACTGTCAAAAACCAGAGCAAGACCAGAGAACTCCCTACATTGACGAATTCCTTGCCATCTCGGTTCTCCGTTCCTCGAGCCTGGTTCTTGAACACAACATCGTCGTCCCAGCGTCGCTTCATGTTAAAGTCTTGCGAATTGAGCAGAGGGTTACCGCGGGCAATATCAACCTCACGCTGCTCCTCTTCCTCTGCGGCCCGTTCACGCTCCTGCTTTGTGTTAGCCAGAATCATGAAGTAACTTCAATGAACATACCTCTTTCTCTTTTTGCTCCAAGCGCTCCTTCTTGATCTTCTCCAGCTCGCGCATTAGCTCGGCTGCCTCGTCCTCGTCGTCACTGAGTTTGATCAGTATATATACGCAAAGTAGAGTATCCCAATCCAACACACCTATCCTCGTCACTGCTGTCTTCTTCTGACCCGTCCGAGTCAGCGTCTATATCACGCGACTCCTCCAATATACGTCTCCGCTTCGCTTCTGGGTCTTCTTCTTGTATTTGATCGCTGGCGTCTTCGGGTGCAGCCTCGAGCTGTCGCTTGGGAGCTGAATCGGTGACAGCTGGTGTGTCGACGGGAACGCCGTTCTTCTTGGCAAAGTGAGCAGCCTCAGCCTGGAGGAGTTCTGCGCGTAGGTCGCGGGGAGCTGCGTCCGCGTCGCCACCTTGTCCGGGTTGACTGGATTAAGTTAGTCAAGGCTTGCGCTCTCCACAAAATCGGCTCTTCATACCGGGTCTTCAGGTGTGTGTGAGCTGGAAGGAGGCGCTGGTGGTAGGCTGGGCCGCGGAGGGCTTCTTTTCCTTGCGCCTGTTCAATCAGTCAGTATCCATGTCGAAGAGACGTTAAAAAAGCTGTCGTACCGGATCAAATGTTGGTCTGTGGGCTAGAAGACATTAGAAAGAGCTCATCGCCGGAGTTTAATTCCAATTATAGCATACCTGTAGTCATTTTGGCGGTTGGGGGAAGTGATAGGTGCAAGTCTAAGCTTCAACTCCGTTGTCCAGGCTGGAAGGTTCACAATCTCCCTCCTTACCGCCCTTCCGTTACGTCTCCCCATTGGTTCCGGTGTGGGACTAACCATTCTTCCGATGCGTTCTATCCGACCGCCTTCGGCAAAACCGCCCAAAAAAGCAACCAACTTTGCTATTCCCCGCGCCGGGGCCACTGTAACGATGTCGAAGGAAGCGCAACTCTCGATTGCGGAGCGTGACTTCATTCTTGAGGCGCTTCGTGAGGATGTGCGGCTCGATGGCCGTCAGCCTGATCAGTTCCGTCCCATGGACATCACGTTTGGTGAAGAATATGGACATGTGAAGCTGCAGCTTGGCAAGACGAGGTGCGCACTACCATTGATCCTCTGCAGATTGTTATTACTGATTGCCTCTCTAGCCTTATTGTTCGCATCTCCGCTGAGGTCACCAAGCCTCGTGAGGAACGTCCTTTTGATGGTCTATTCAACATCAACATGGAGCTGAGTTCCATGGGCTCTCCCGCCTGGGAGAATGGACGGTAATGATTATTCTGGTTGCTATAATATGTGGCTGTCTCTAACAATCACTTCTGCAGCTCCAATGATCTCGAGGCATCTGCCACCAACACCCTTGACCGCGTCATTCGTCACTCCAACGCTCTCGATACCGAGTCTCTCTGCATCATCAAAGGTGTGAGCTGTTGGAGCATCCGTGCTGATGTGCATGTAATCGACTACGATGGAAACCTTACCGATGCAGCCTGCATTGCCATCATGACCGGACTGCAACACTTCCGCCGGCCGGATGCTGTGGTCAAGGATGGCCGGGTCATCGTCTACGGGGTTGAGGAGCGTGTGCCTGTCGCCCTCAACATCACCCACAAGCCTCTCTCAATCACCTTCAATACTTTCAACGACAGCAAGCATGTCATTGTTGACGCTACTCTCAAGGAAGAGCAGGCATCTGAAGGAGACCTCGTCATTGGCATCAACAGCGCCGGCGAGCTCTGCTACATGTCCAAGATCGAGGGTTCTCCGATTAACCCCATGGTTATTGTCAACAAGACGAGTGTGGCCTGGGACAAGGTCAAGGAGCTTAATCTCATTATCGACAAGGTTCTGCGGACTGATCTGGCCAAGCGGGCGAAGGTTGGCATGGCTGATGAGTCGCGGGCTGAGAATGACCGGTTGGTTGCAACCGAATGAACATGTAATACCACTTTGACGATCATGGGACCGGAGTCTAGTTGAAAACCAATGCACTTATCTTACTACCAAGCGATGTCGTCTTATCAACAAAAATTATGAGGCAAATTCTAACCCCCGCCCCGTTGTCTCAATAGTATAGCGCGGCTACTCAAGGAGACGTCCTAGGATGGTAACATGCCGATTTCGAGCCATGCAGGAAGCTGATCAATTTCCATAACACGACGGTAATAGTGCTTTATACGATGTGCTCGGAGAACAGTATCCTTACTTCACTTTGTATGCATCGCATTTCGACAGGGTACCGTCTCAAGTTATCATGTCCATCGTCCGGGGACATGTATATAGTATCTACGCTGTAGAGGGAACTGTAATTTTAATACCATTTATTCTCCTACATTTCTTTCTCCAGTGGGATATCAAAATATCAAAGATCATGCATGGAGGTTGTGTATTATCAGGCTGTGTATTCGTATCTACATGTGTCGTCTCAGTTGGCACTTAATATATCACGCCAAGAAGACCCCTATTCTTAGATCAGTTGCAGACTGGACACAGCCAAGTAATCTGACGACAGATCTTGATACAAAGATCAAAGAAACGCATCTTACTCCAAGCTATACAATAACTCAAACCAATATATATGCCGTATATCTCGTAGTCGCTTTGATTGTTGTGAAGCGCTTTACCGCCTTACGGGCCAAACATAGCTTAATTTGTTGCCTTCACCCGCAAAGCCACCTCATTCCCGTCTCCCCTTTCACTTCCCTCGAATCGGTTTCTGGCTACCTTATTTGACTCTGTGCCGACAGATCTGGCAAATCGCTCTCTGTCGACTACGCTTTCCGATCAATGCCTCAGGGGCATCACCACTACGCAACTTCAGTGACAGTGTCAGCTTCCCCGCGGCGTCATGGCCAGCGGTAGGCCTCCCGGGTCGCATTCAGCCGCTGGTCGCGATGAAGACCTGCTGTTGGACTCCGGACCCATATACAACAGTGGCCAAGGCCCGCCTGTGAACGACGAACACCTCCTAGAACGCTACAACATTGACGATTCCGACGAACCCTACTCTCAAGCGCGCCCTTCGGTATCCTACGATAACTTTGTCGGATCGCGCGTGCCGCAGGGCACAACGCTTCACAATGTTGGTGCTGGACCGGCGCATCCGCCTGTCAACCCGGGCTTGCATTCGAATGACCCCTACTCCAGCGGATCCCGGGACCGAACCTACTCCCAGACCTCCGGACTGGACAACTACCAACGGTATTCCCTGGATGACGACCTCGACGATGCGCATTCCGGATACTATGATCTCGACGCCGATGACGACCGTATTGCCCAATCGCATAATGTTCGAAGAGCAAATGAGCGCAATAGTATCCTCGGACTCGGGGGCGGCTTGATGGGCAAGGCAAAGTACATGTTTGGCATGGGGACATCACAGTACTCAGAGATGGACCTCCCTTTAACAGAGGCCGGCGCAAGAAGGGCGACGGTTGATAGTGCTTCCACCCAGCCCGCACCCCCGAAGCCGCGAAAGAAGTTCAGCGCGTCGGACCTCAACATCTTCAAGCGGAGCAGAGCTGACCCCTCGACTCTGGGCCCGCGCATGATCCAGCTCAATAACCCACCCGCCAATTCCGTCCACAAGTTCGTCAGCAACCACGTTTCGACTGCCAAATACAACATCTTCACCTTCATCCCCAAGTTCCTCTTCGAACAATTCTCCAAATACGCCAACCTCTTCTTCTTGTTTACTGCCGTTTTACAACAAGTTCCCAATGTGTCGCCCACAAATCAGTACACCACGATTGTTCCACTCGCTATTGTCTTGGCGGTGTCAGCCATCAAAGAATTGGTGGAGGACTATAAACGGAGGATGTCGGATAGAGGTCTAAACTATTCGAAAACCCAAGTCCTCAAGGGCTCTTCGTTCCACGAGACAAAGTGGGTAGATGTTGTGGTGGGTGATGTGGTTCGCGTTGAGTCCGAGCAGCCTTTCCCAGCCGACTTGGTGTTGCTGGCATCGTCCGAGCCGGAGGGTCTGTGCTACATCGAGACAGCAAATCTGGATGGTGAGACCAATCTCAAAATCAAGCAGGCTATTCCTGAGACTGCCCATCTGGTTAGTCCCAGTGACTTGAGTCGGTTGAGCGGACGGGTTCGCTCAGAACAACCGAACAGCAGTCTGTATACTTACGAAGCTACTCTGACCA